CTCATATAGCTCAACACAATCGGTCTAGATCTAAAAAAATATACACATTTTGAGAGAGGAATGTTATTCATATGTATTACTTTTCATCTTGATGAAGAAAATTATGAGATTTATCTGATTAAAACGACTATTAGTTTTTTAATACTGAACGTTTTTTTCAACTTTTCCATATAGGGGAGATAACTCGGATAACATTATTTTTTTGTCGTTTTTTTATTTTTTTTATTTTTTGCCATGGCATTGTCAGTCTGTTTTCGACTTATGAGTTTGAAATCCCTTTGGCATATTTCGTCTCTAATGATGGAATGTGTAGAGGCTTTATCTATTTTGTTTTGTAGACAGAAAACGAGTCTCGTGATCCCAATTTTTATTTTTATTTTCTAACATTGAGTTTTCCATGTATAGTTTATACAAAATCTGACAATACTACATAACCTGTAGCTTGCAAAATGCTCTGTGGCCCAAACTTTTTATTATGTTTTTCAAAAAATATTGAACTACATTTTGGCAAATAATTTAAAAAAATACCGATTTTAATTTAGACCACACTCATGAAAACTATAAGAGAGAGAGAGAGAGAGAGAGAGAGAGAGAGAGAGAGAGAGAGAGAGAAACTGTTGACATAAAAAAAACATATCTACAAATTAATCAAAGCAATACCAAAATAATTCATGGACTTTAACAATTTTCACAGATTTGTGATTTTTCTTTGAAAACACATATAGATAGAGAGAAGCTGCATAGAACCAAGAAAATCACTATTGACCGGAAAATAAGAGACGGAAATCATTAATTGGCTTCTTATTATAAGTTATAGGGGTCATTGTCCATTAATGACTTTACCAATTAAAAAAAATAAAATATTCTCCGAGTGGATATATACATAAACCTGGGCACTATCTTACTTGGTGCTGGAAAAATGGTTGGCACTGCTGTAAATGATGTATTTTTTTTTTTTGAAAGTTGACGATTTAGACTGGAGGCTCTAGGTCAAATTTCATTAGGTTTCATAGACTTCATGTATGAGCGAAAAGTATACAACAGAATCTACCATACTTTATGTTTGGGTTGGCCCCATGCAGTAGTATTCTTCCACCTATCAATTCTTTTTGTTTTATTTCTTGGAAAAGAAAATTCAAATTTTCAGATACCTCTTACAAGGCGGGGGGGGGGGGGGTCACATTCTCATAAAGCTCTGACCCTCTCAGTCCTACGCTTTAGCGTATTATTTGTCATATCAGTTGATCTTTGTTTTTTTAAGATTAAGACTCCAGATTCTTATGTTTTAATTTATTTCGGGGAAAACGGGAGTGGTAAATACAAATTCTCCGATAACTCTTACATAGATGTGATTTTATATGAGTAAAATTTGACCCACACAGTCATAAGTCTTATAAGCACAATATTATGTTGTATATATTAACACACAACATAGATAAATATTTTCTTAAATATTGTTCATAAAAAAAAGTCTGGTTTTTAATCATTAAAAAAAATCCAAACAAAACATGTAAAACATACGGCAAAACTGTATGCAAGTGTAATATATAGCGATGGGTAATTCTTTTGCTTTATGAATTTATCGAAAACTTTCTTTGTATATCATTTTGCCTCCGGAGTTAAATTTCATTAATATTCATCAACTTGCAAATAAAGAAGAAAAATCCTGGGGATTTGTCTCTCATTCTTTTCCATAGAATTGAATTTTCAATTCACATAATTCCGTAATGTTTTACGCATCATTATTGTCTTTCAATTTAACATAAAACGATCTTATATTTGTACTATATTCGAAGTCAACACCAAAATTCTTCAATTCTGCACAAGTATATGTCATCCTATCATTGTTTTATTTTGACTTTACGTTCTGTTTTTATAACCTAACATTTTACTATTTCAAGTCAAGACCAAACTACTTCAAATTTACATCGTGTAGTTTCAAGTCAACACATTGTATGATAAGCCTCTCGTGACGACATAATGATATAACATCGTGCTATCTTAGCTCAACAACACGTACTTTCAACTGTACGTCGTGTAGTTTTGAATGAGCATATTATATGGCAAGCCTATCGTGATATTAATATGATATAACATCGTGCTATCATAGCTCAACATCACATACTTTGAACTGTACGTTGTGTAGTTTTAAATGAGCATATTGTATGGGAAGCCTATCGTGACATTCAAATGATATAACAACATGCTATCTTAGCTTAACATCACCTAGTTTCAACTGAAAGTCATGTAGTTTTTAATGAGCATATCGTGTGGTAAGCCTATCATGACATTCTAATGATATAACAACGTGCTATCTTAGCTTAACATCACGTACTTTCAGCTGTACGTGGTGTAATTTTAAATGAGCAAATTGTATAATAAGCCTATCGTGACATTATAATGATATAACATCGTGCTGTCTTAGCTGAACAACACGTACTTTCAACTGTACGTCGTGTAGTTTTAAATGAGCATATTGTATGGCAAGCCTATCGTGATATTATTATGATATAAGATATTGCTATCATAGCTCAACATCACGTACTTTCAACTGTACGTCGTGTAGTTTTAAACGAGCATATCGTGTGGTAAGCCTATCGTGACATTCTAATGATATAACAACGTGCCATCCTAGCTTAACATCACGTACTTTCAACTGTACGTTGTGTAGTTTTAAATGAGCAAATTGTATAATAAGCCTATTGTGACATTATAATGATATAACATCGTGCTACCGTAGCTTAACATTACAAAGTTTCAACTGTACGTCGTGTAGTTTCAAGTGAGCATCTTAGTTTAACACGTTGCATCGTGTTGTTTTAAGTCAACAAATTGTATGGTAAGCCTTTCGTTTCAATATAGTGGTGCAGCATCGTGTTATCTTAACTTAACATCATGTACTTTCAACTGTGCATCATGGTGTTTTAAATCAAAAGATTGCATGATAGACCTATCGTAATATCACAATGATATAACATCGTACTATCTCAGCTCAACATTTATTAATAACAAGTCAGCAACATACATTTTAGCTATTAATTTTATTTGTTATCATAGCTATCGAAGTGGATGACTGAGCAGTATCCATCTGCAAGCTAACATCATGCAACGTCAACTTCACATCATGTACTTTAAACCCAACGTTACGTGTGTTTGGCATATCATCACAGCATCGTGACTTATCATTACACTATCACGACTAAAGCGCTTGTCATTGCAAGTCAACATTGCGCAAATTCAACTTAGCATATTGTAATTTAGAGTTAGCATTTTGATGACTCAATTCAACATCACGCTGTCTTAACTTTACATTTTAAGCTTCAGCATAACGTTTTGTAAATCTCTAATATATGACAGCTGAGGCTTTCCATAGAAATTCACCTTCAGTTTGCCACCCAGACCCGTGTACGAAAGTTGCTATACTTGTTCAAACCTAAGTTGTGTAAAAAAGTATTTATTACTAAGGGGATAAACAAATTCACATATCGAAAAAGGAAAGACACCTTCATGGACAAAAGAAAAAAAGAAAAACAAAGGTTTCACAAAATAGTACACAGGAAACAAAGAATGAGTAACCTGAATAATTCAGTCCCTCTCCGTGATCGACTATTCCACTCGCGATGATACTTTAGGTGACACCGTGATCGACTATTCCACTCGCGATGATGCTTTAGGTGGCACTGTGATCGACTATTCCACTCGCGATGATGCTTTAGGTGGCACCGTGATCTACTATTCCACTCGCGATGATGCTTTAGGTGGCACCGTGATCGACTATTCCACTCGCGATGATGCTTTAGGTGGCACCGTGATCGACTATTCCACTCGCGATGATGCTTTAGGTGGCACTGTGATCGACTATTCCACTCGCGATGATGCTTTAGGTGGTAGCGTGATCGACTATTCCACTCTCGATGATGCTTTAGGTGGCACCGTGATCGACTATTCCACTTGCGATGATGCTTTAGGTGGCACCGTGATCGACTATTCCACTCGCGATGATACTTTAGGTGGTACGGAAGTATTTCCTGAGCCATAGAGATACAATCTAATGATAGATAGCCTTTTTGGAAATTCGCCTTTGTCTAACACTGACCCAGAACCTACATACAAAGTTAACTGAAGTACTTTCGTTATAATATTCAGAAATAAATTTAAATATGTATGATATAGAATTAAGGAGATGTGGTATGAACTATCCATAAAAGTTCAAATGTAGTGGATTTAAGCAAGCCTTCAACAATGAGAAAAACCCATACCGTATAGTCGGCTCCGACAAGAAAAATATGAAACAATTCAACTGAGAAAACTAACGGCCTAATTTATAACAAAGCAAATAACGAAAAACAAATATGACAGACATGAACCAACAACAAGCACTGAACTACAGACTACTGACTTGGGACACGCATATACAGAATGTGGCGGAGTTAAACTAGTTTACTGTCGTTAAACCCTCCCCTTACCTGGGACAGTGATGTAACAGTACAATATAAGAACAAACTACAAAAATCTGTTGAAAAGGGCTGAACGCATCAGATCGATACACAGCAGAAAACATCTAACGAAAACACAGACCGGACGTGACAGCTTTTGGCCGTTTGCTTTTTCTGCTATCATTATAACACTAAGGCTACTATAGGTCTATTATCATACAGTTAATACATAATTCAAAATAATTCTCAAAAATTCATTTTCACCTGTATGTAAAAATTTTTCATATTTTTCTACACCTGAGTCATCCCTCAGGGACCGTATGCATAAAGCTACTTAAGTTAAGATTTTCCTTAGTAAACATTTAAGTTAAGGAAACTTAGCCTGGGGTCCTGGCTAATCTTGTCAGTATAGCCAGGCGTGTATCAATATACTGCCTGTCAGTTAGCCTGGGGTCCTGGCTAATCTTGTCAGTATAGCCAGGCGTGTATCAATATACTGCCTGTCGTGATTGGTTAGTCCTAATTTTGTCGCGCAATGCACACTGGGAAAGCTAAATATGACAACAACAATGGCGTCCTCCATAGTCGGCAGATTCAATACAACAATACTAAGTAAATTTGAGAACAGTTTAGGTTTGAAGTATGCTTTATCGTGCATAAACATGAAAAGACAAACTGAATATAACTTTCATAAGCCTAAACAAGCAGATTGCATAAATTTATTAAAGGAAAGTGACATAATTGCGTGTCTTCGCACTGGATATGGAAAATCCTTAATTTTTGAAACTTTGTCATATCAAAATTACAAGCAGATACCGACAGTTTTGATAGTAAGTCCATTAAATTCAATCATAACTGAACAATTACAAAGGTATGGGAAAGACGCTGTTTGTATAACAATGGGATTTATAGAGAAATTGAAGGAGAACCAATGTGATCTTGGTATAAACAGTGAAGAACATTGTGTGTGTGATGTCTGCAGATTTAGACAGTCAAATTATCGCTTTGTAATAGGACATCCTGAGCACATACTTAACAAGACAGTATTTGACATTTTCAAGAACTCTTGTTGGCAAGAGAAGGTGACTTACATCATAGTAGATGAAGCACATTGTATTGAAAAATGGGGAAATGATTTCAGAACAGACTACAAAAAGATTTCACAGCTCAGATCAGTCTTTCCTCTTTCCCGAGTATTAGCATTGACTGGAACTGCAACACAAAAGACGTGTGAAACAATTGAAAAATCCCTATGTTTGAAAAAAGTTCATGTTGTTAAATCATCAATTGTTAGAGACAATATTAAATTGCTGTGTGAAAAAAGGCCACCACAGAATACTCTGGACTCATTCAGGACAGTAATCAGTCCACTCATCAGTGATCTGAGGAAAAACAAAGACAAATTTCCGAAAACTGTAGTCTATTCAAAGTTAAAGTGGTGTGCAGAAGGCTACCAATTGACCATGAAGCCAGAGGAAGATGGGACTTCAGTTTGTGAGGAAGTTAAGACAATTGTTTCCCAGTACCATGCACCATGTACAGAAAAGGTAATTTTAGACCTAAAAAGTATTTAGGGGACAACTGTTTGATATTAAGAAAGGGGGAGGGGTAGAATTTGAAAATATTATCCTGACCCGTTGAGAACTGATAATCTTTTCAAAGACAGGGTGAAAATAGATATTCTTCAAAAGAATTATACTGTAGGAAATAAATGAGTACACGTAATAGTAAATTTTTGTCGACCACAAAAATAATAACAAGCTGAACTAGTTACTGACATGACTGATGAAAATGAATATTCAGCAAAGAAAAAAATTTCCTGCCCCCTTTTTAATCTTGGCAATTATTTCATCAAATGTGAGCAGATGTATATATATGTATTCGTTGTATGATTACGAATATGGATTACTTTGTTCTTTTTTAACATTTTCGATAAGTATGTGCATGATATGCAAACTACATGTAGCCTGAAAGCTCATTTTTTATAATAAATTTTGTTAAATTGATGTCTGATTATGTCATGATATGTATTATAATTTAAGTAATTATTAATTATTTCACAGTTTAAAGCAGAAGTTGTTGAGCAGATGAATTGTGGTAGTCTACGTCTCCTGTTTGCAACAGAAGCCTATAGCATGGGTACTGATGCTCCTGATATAAGACAAGTGGTACACTATGGGGTTCCTAGCTCTTTGGAAAGTAAGTTGATGTGCTAGAATGTAAAAATAAGGAGATGTAGTATAATTGCCAATTAGACAACTCTCCACCCGAGGCCAAGTGACAAACACATGAATAAAAAAACAATTACAAGTCACCGTGCGATCTTCAACAATGAGCAAAATCCATACTGCATAGTCAGTTATAAAAGGTCCAGAAATGACAAATATAAAACAACTGAAACAAACCTATTCAGTATATTTCCTTTGAATAATATATTCATACAAGTCATGCATGTACATGTACATGTATGCAATATTCACAGAGAAGAGGAGACCATAAAATTGATTCACACTAATGATAATATATCAGATACATGTACCTACCTTTTTCATTAAGGAGTCACTTGCCATTGTATCTCTTCAGACCCCTCCACTAAAATAATTTATTGTAGTGTTTTTGTGTTAATGGATGCATGTACACATGTATTGTAGTATATTTGAATGTTACTAATTTTTTGCTTTCTTTTCAGCATATCTTCAGGAAGTTGGACGAGCAGGCAGAGATGGAATTTTTGCAACAGCAACACTTTACTACAACAAGTACGATATAGGAAAAAATATGCCTGTTGATCAGGAAGTTAGAGACTTTGTTATGACAACAGATTGTAGGTGGGAAAATTTATGCAAATATTTTGGAAGTGAGTTTGCCAGAAAGGTTGATGGTCACGACTGTTGTGATAACTGTGAGAAACATTGTGACTGTTTACTTTGCTATGAACCTTTACTAGAAACTGACATGACTGAGGAATTACCGAAAAAATCAAAGAAAATGAAGCTTGAAACTGACAATAAAGAAGTGTTAAGGTCTTTATTGTTTCAATAGTTCAAGGCTGAAAGCGAAATTACAGAAATGCCAAACAATATTCCATCAACAGGACTGTCCCTTGATCTGATTGAAAAAATCTGCAGTTCTAGAGAACGTCTAGAGACAGTACAACAGATTCTGGAATTGTTTCCTTACTTAAAACACCAATATGCGGAGAACATTGCTGTGATTATTGGACATGCTAAGCATTCTTCTTAAACAACTATGTTCATATACATTGTCTGGACAGCATTTCTTTGATATGAACTACATGAAAAATATAAATGACCTTTCAAAAACCAAAGATTTTTATATATTTTCAGTGAATTGTTTTTTTGTAAGTTCCAGGACGCTCATATACATGATATACATACGCATGAATAAGTACTCTCAATTTCTTTCACATGCCATAATATATATTTATTAAATACTAAATACAGAATGTAATTTGTATAATGAATGTTATCACTCAGACTTCAATTGATTTCCATGTGTTGTTCTTTGTATTAATTTTGGGGATTTCACATTGGGTGCCTATACCTTGTCTGGCTATGGGGAGCATGTGGTGGTTTGTGTGTCTGTTTTTTCAGAGGAAATGGTAGTTAGTGTTGTCTGTGTACTGTTAAGAATTTTTGATGATTCTATTTATTCTCTTTTGATTGATTGTTTTCTTTTTGTCCAGTGGCAAACATTTCATCTATATTCAGGACTAGAACAAGTGAAAAATAAATATGACAGTTAGGGCTTAAAAGTGGTCGAACAGCCACAGGGTCATACCCTTCGTGCATATTCAGGACTAGACCAAGTGAATAATAAATATTATGGGTAGCAGTACGTGAGGTCCTGAAAAGTGTTTAACCAGGGTCCTTTCTTATCTGTATTGTGTATGAAATGGACTCGTTCAAATGTACATACATGTACCAAGACGCACCCAATGCTGCTTATAAAGCACTTAGGGAATGACTTGTAGCAAATATATATGTATCCTGATTCCTGCATTTATGAGACTGCTTGCATTGTGTCCTTACACTTAATTAAATCTGTATTGTCATGAATATGCATGAAATAATTGCTACATTAAGTAAGCAGTAATTAATCCCTAAATCTATAGCAGTGTAATGATGGACATTTTAGATGTTTAGTCTTTGAGAACATGGTTTATTTGTTGAAATTGGGCTTTGAACTAACTTTGGCGTTTACCTTTCGGTTATTTGTTTTTGTGCATAGTCCTGATTTAATCAATCGTCCCTTTCATACTGATTTTCACATCAAGAGCCAGGATTCTTTAATTCAATGGTTTTCTTTTGTTCTCTGTAGAATCATTTCAGATTTTTTTTATTTCAAGGGTCTTTTATAACTTACAATACCAACTTGTTTTTGCTTATTGTTGCAGGTCAAATGGAAACCATAACGTGTTACTGGGCAATCTTTAATTTTATTGTTTTGTTTTTATTGACATATTGGAAAATTGTCTCATTGGCAATCTAACCATACAACATATTTTTATATGGAAATAGATGTGTATTCATAATCATTAGCTAGGCCATCATAAATAAATTCCTAAATTCACTTCTGTCTGTCAGTTTTTAAAAAATAATTAGTAACAAAACTATACAGAATCTAGGAATATATTTATTATGGCATACGTTGAAGATGTATGTACAGCACAAATTATCATTTAATAATTTTATTCATTTCATTCAGAAAAACATACTCAACATAACCATAATAATTAAAAGTCAAGATTGGGTTAAAACTTTCAGAATGACACGTAAATTCACAAAAACGTGGTAAAAACTCAAATTGCAATTGATTAACTGATTAAACACAGGCCTAACTTTAATATATCTATGTTATTTATCAATTGTGTCATTTATTGTGGATAAATCAATTGCATTAGCAGTGTTCCTTTAAAAATAAAATTAATGCAGCACTACACTGTTTAAACTGATCAAGCACTACATTGAGAAACATTTATCAAGCACTACATTGAGAAAAATTTATCAAGCACTACATTGAGAAACATTTACCAAGCACAACATTGAGATACATTTTTCAAGAACAACATTGAGATACTCTTATCAAGCACAAAATTGAGATACACTTATCAAGCCCTACATTGAGAAACATTTACCAAGCACAACATTGAGAAACATTTAAAAAGCTTATGTAGCATTATTGAGAAAAACTTATGCAGCACTACAGAGAGTAATATTTCAGTGAAATTGCATACCATGTTTACACTTATAAAAAGTAACAAAGACAGCAATATTTGACCTATATAAAAAATGTACAAATGTTTAGGTACAATATATTAATGCTGAAGAGAAGTAGGCACAGTCAGTACATGTACATGTAATATGTCAGGAATATTTATTGGCCTAGGTCGTTCGCATTGATAACGATCCTAGATCTTATCCAAGAATGATAATGATCAACATTCATATATTCAATAACCGATTTCTTAATGTTTGGAAAGGCATTATGAAGTCTCCCTGACTGAAACGAAAATGGTCTAAGTTTTCTTAAGTCTTGAATAATCAATAACTCATCACCATCAGAATCCTTTTTTTTTTGTTTTTTGCATCTATGAACTACACCACTAGCTTTATCAAAATGTTCTGATAAATCTTGAATTCCTGATAAGGATCTGGTCTGCTTTGCAATGTTTGCTTCACTTTTGTTGGAATACATATGTTTTATGTGTTTTTTTATGGTCTTGACCATATACTTCATCTGCAAGTCAGCAGGGATATAACTGTCCACCTTTCCTTTGGTGTTGACAAACATTCCTGTAACAACCTCAGCTGCCTCCTTTCTGACAAGGTAGAAATTTGTTGTATCAGAAAGCGGTGTATTTCCAAAGCATATTTGCTGTTATTGGACCTCGCTTTAAATACTGTCATACTGTGCTTCAACAACCTCAACATTTGATTCCGTTCTGGAGATTTGCAAACACCCAACAGCTCTTTAAACAGCATACCCAATTCTAACACTAAATGTCCATAGTTCTTAACCTTGTCACTTCCTTCATCAACCGACTTCTTATTGGTTGTTCTGATTCTGGGACAAATTGAGATCTCAGTTCCATTTGACAATTTCAATGTTACTGGTAGGTACTGCCCATCCTCTGAAAATAACATTAACCAAGAATTAATTCCACAAGTTTAACTATATGAAACAACCGTTAAAAATGCAAATGAACTTTAAACAATTAAAGCTAAGGTACCCAGGCCAGTATACAGTCATTGACAGGATTTAAGGGTATTTTGTTTGATCTCAATACAAATCTGGTGTCCTAAGAAACCAAAACGAAACAAAATTGAAGGCTGTACAGTTGCCTATAATTGCTTACATTCACTTCATTCAATCTTTGGTGGATAGTTGTCTCATTTGCAATCATACCACATTTCCTTTTTAGGGATATATAGTCTCATATAACTATGTCGGATTGTGAAAGTAAATATGTTTTATATACAGGTATGTGAAAAGTAAGGAAATATATAACATTAACACTTTATAAAAGTTAGTGTTGAAGTGCTTTTCTAGATTAATCTTCATCAGGAATGCTATAAGCCAAAAATTTGAAAGCTAGATGCTTAAATATGGAAGTAATTACAAGTTGTATTGTATACTATAAGCTACATGTATTAATGCTTACCAATAACATCATCCTGGATATCTTCAATTTTTTTTGGCCACACCATTTCATCAACCATTTTTCCAATCACCTCATTCATCCATGTCTTTTTCTCCTCTACTGATGAAAATTCTGGTGGAATATTTTTGGTTGGGACTGATAGATGGTCCTCCATTCCGAAACGTTCACATAATAGTTCAACAATGTATGCATTTACAAAGGCAATCACAAAGTCTTTATCTGCATCATAAGCCTTTTTAACATCTTGGTCAACCTGACTTCTCATTACTCTATTTATCTCACACTTGAGGGTTCCAAGGTCTCCCGCACTTTTGTCACTATACAAAAAGTCAAAAAATCCTTGCAAGAAGTTCATGAGAAGATGAAACATTTCAAATGTTATAGGGGTCAGGTGTCCGAAGCGATTTTTCACATTGTTTTCAGCTGCTCTTAAACCTTTTGCACCAGAAAACCTCTCACGGGTAAGTTGATCACCACCAATGTGGATTTTGACATCATCTGTTACTTCTTTTCCTGCTGCATTGAATGTTGTCTCCAATATGTTTTCATAACTGTCTAAAATGTCTACAACATCAGAATAGTACATTTCATTTTTAAGAACAGTCTCCAGTGGAATTACCTTAGTTTTTTGTGGTTTTCACTTGTCTTGGTTATAGTACCTGTAGCTATAGGGTTCTGTAGAGAAATGTCTTCCAAGAATTTAAAATATGGAATATACTTTTTTGCAACAGTTACAATTTGATTAATATAGTCTTGTCTTAATGCTTGGTAGTCATCCTGATTCATGAGCAAATCCTGTACATTTACATCAGTCCAAGGCTTTTGTGGTCGTTCCGAGGAAAGGTGTGCAAAGTCAACATCATGGATCAAAGCAATGGAAGCAAATGCATGATGAAGGTGTTGTGTTTTTCCATTGTCCTGCGACCTCTGGTCCCTGATGCCAACAGCATAGTTTACATTGTCGCCAACTATCCTTAATCTTTTGCCCTCATTTATGGCAGCAGCAAGTTGTTGTGTGTATGACTGGCCTACTTCATGCAAAAGGTGTTGTGACTGCTCATAGCTTAGACATACACCAACAGGCTGAAACCGGTCATAAATCTGAAATACAAAAAAATAAAGTTAGAGAATGGAAACCAAAAATTCAGCAATTTTTATGTTTAGAATGGGGCATAACTCAAGAACAGTAAAAGCGAAGCCATCCAATTTCTAATTGATCTGTATTCTATGGTAATAAGCATTGTGTATAAGTTTCATAACATTTGGTTGAGGCAAACAAAAGTTAAAGAACGGAAACGAACAATTCAGCAATTTTTATGTTTAGAAAGGGCATAACTCAAGATATAAGTGACGCCACCCAATTTCACACTTGATCTGTATTTTATAGTAATGAGCATTGTGTATAAGTTTCATAACATTTGGTTGAGGCAAACTAAAGTTAAAGAAAGGAAACCCAATTTGGGACGTACAGACGGACAAGGGTAAAAATTAATGCCCCCTCCACTACAGCGGGGGCATAAAAATTAGCATATTGTTACTGAATCATTTAATTACATTGTAAATAACAACAACTGTTGACTAGTTTTGATGAATTACACATAGCAGTCCAGCTTCAACACAATACATGTATGTCAATGTACAACTAACATTTGTACATAAGGTCATGGATACACATCATGCACATGTGCACCTAATAAATTTATTATTTTTTTTATTGAACTGGTGTATGCATGCAATGAATGAAATTTTCCCTTTTCAACAGATTCTATACATATTGTAAATATAAAATGAAGTTCTTGTCAATGATCCTTTGGCAGGTTTATAATAGACTGTTAAGAGTTTGAAATTAGGAGTTTACATACATCTGTATCAAATTATGGCACCAAAATTTATATTAATGTCAAAGTAAAATGTTTACCACAGTTTGATTTAGTTACTTTTCATTCATGTCTCTGATTGTCATTGTTGTTAAATATTTTTGTTTCAAATACATGTACATGTACTTCTTACATACTTCAGTGGAAGATTTTTAAGAGCCATGACAAGGTAGAAAATAAGGAGGCCTCATAAAGTATGTGTATGCGTATCAGTAATACAGGTTTTCTTCAAATTTCAAACATTTAAAAAAAAAATTGAATTCAACATACATGTATATCACATACATGTATCAAGTGGTTTGCGATGTAAAAAAAATGCATTCAATTTTTTTTAATTTCTAGACCATTGTTCATGATGAGCTTTGTCTAAGCAGTCGTTCAGTACACATTTACATGTACATGTATGCTAGCCAGAAGAATTTATATATATAATTTAGCTTTTTCAAATTCTATACAATCGATACAGCTATATATATATTTAAGCATATTAAAACTATCAATGTCTGCCTAATTGAATGTTCAGATATATAAAGAGAAACAATACATCAAAACTTTTCAAACCATATATGTTATAAAATTTAAGTTATAATCATGATAATGATTATTTTTAGATAAAATATGATACTCTTTTTTAAGTCTGTTTTGCATTTGACATCTGTATCAAATTTTTGTTTAACATCAATAAGTAAAAATTAGACAGTATTTATTTTTCTTTATAAATTGATGTACAGTATTACCATATGTAATTATCAGTCTGATCATAATTAGTAAGCAGAAACAGGTAAATTCTTATCAGCAATCACCTGGTGAGAAAGTTAAAACTATAAGATTTCACATGGCCAAGCCGCCAAGGTGTGAATTAGATTTCAATTTTACGACTTAATTCACATGTACACATGTATCTAAAAGGGCAAAAGACAGTAACACATGGGAAAAAACCATAAAAAGTAAAGGACAACAAAAACTGCAGTTATATAAAAAAAAAACTTCAAATTTAATTCCATTCCCCTTTTATGAATTTGCACTAGATGTACATATACAATGTTTTGTTTGCATTGAATTGTCAAACATTTACATTGTTCAATGCCACATGCATGTAGGCTACATGTATTTTTAATTATTTCATGTTCTGAAAAGTGTTGAAGGCTCTGTGACCATTATGACTTAGATGAAAACCAACAATAAAAGAGCAGTTCCTTTGCTTTTCTGTAATTTTACTGTTTTTTTAGTGTAAGTCATTGATGAGTATCTCTTACATGTCATATTTTTCCCCTTCTATACTGAACAAAAATATATTCTGATTCCAAAAGACACACATTGCTTGTATAAATTAATTCCTATTCAAAAGAGACATAAAATGACTGCTCACGTAAATTAATTCTTATTCTTCATTTCTTAAGGACATTCAATGATTCATGTTGGATATCTGGATGGGGAAAAACATGTCTTTGACCTTATGTATATATATATATATACAGTGTATATATATATATATTAGTTTTTATATCATATAGCAAAACAAGTTCACACTATGGCCTGTGTATACATTAGTATGTTTACTGTCTTTATGATAGGGTTTAAATTATAATCTTTTTTAATAAATGAGAATTCTATTTGTATATAGACTCTGGATAGAGAGTTGTCTCATTGGCATTCATACCGCATCTTCTTATATCTACATTTGTATGCGTATATCTTTTAAAAAAGTCCTAAGTAAAGAATGTGCATGGCTAAACATGGCTAACACATGTATGAAATAAAGAATAGGAGTAATGCATTATTAATACAATTGTCCCACAACCATGCAATGATATACTTGAAAATAATAATAAACTACAAACAGTACATGTACACATACAGCTAGATATATACTACAGGCAAAAGTGCTCCAGCAGGGAATGACATCATGTGTAAGTACAGTCACTGATGTTTTTTAGGTTACGTTTTTTTGTTGCTTTTCATTACATTTATAGGTGAAAAGTGGAAAATTTGTAAAACATGTTAATCTTTTAATTTATAAATTGTGTACATATGAACATGATTTGCTTGTTCCATATAATATACAGCTATATATGCTTTGTAACTTTCCAACTACTGAAGCACTTACAAACTATACTATCGAATACATGTACATTTGTATCTAAAGAAAAGAGTACCGTATACACAGAATAAAGTAATACATTTATACACACAACCACCCAATACTTACATCTACTAGTTATCACCTAGGCTATAAAATGAATTTGAGCATGTTGAGAAAAAGGTTGAAATATATACATCACATGATACATGTAGTTGGTTTTGCTTTCCTTTTTTATTTCTATTAAGATCTGTTTATCATTTTTATAAGAGAAATTTTTATTACATACAATGTACATCATCGTATCATTTATAATTGAGAAAAAAAGTCAGTAATTAAGACAATTCAAATAGAAAACTTTTTGAGTTTTATTTAACAAAAGATATTTTTAAAAGCTCGAGCTCTCTCAACATTTATAAAGTAATAAAAACATTATAATCTTTTCTAAATTTATATTACAAACTTTGAACCGACACATATTGTCCAATTTACAATCCAATAATATAATATCACAATACCTTTTGATCTGCTATGTTGTCTAACAGGCATAGAGTCATCATCCTCTGCACTAAGCTTAGCTTGTGGTGTCTTGTCTGTGCACAAACTGCATACACCATTCCCATCCTTGGCAATATCTTGTCTCTATTCTTCTCCCCAGAAGACATTATACCTTCCACTATGCTTGCAAGTAAGGGAAACTGACTTTTAAATTCTTCACAAATTTTGTCCCAGGAAAATCCATACATATTGTCACATGTTTTTTTCATCAGAACACTAACAAATCCATGTTTTTCTTTATTTAAAATTTTTATTTTCTCCTCACTTTCAGTTTGGAAGTAATTTGTCACATGTTTCAAAAAATCTTTATTTTTTAACAACAGATCTCCAATGTGTGAGATGTATCCACCAGAATGTAGTAATGAAGCAAGATGTGCTTTTTCAGTTTTGCTTAAAGATGGTACTGTAACTGTAACATTTTCATCTGCCCCCTCATGGTTTACTGGAGTATTAGTAGAACTCTTTGAAGCCTGAAAAATTATTAGTTCACATGAATACTACTTTAGCTTACAGTTGTCCAAGTTGGCAATATTGTTTGATTCTACATGTACATGCATACACGTAGAATTGTTGAACTAAATGTTTGGGTTAATACATTTAACATTTCAAATGATGTGGGCAGGTGCAAAGATACATGTACATGTATTTTAATTCATAATTACATTAGACATTAACAATATTTATTAAGTTTAAATTATTTTGTTATTATAAGGGGTTGTTTCGTTGACACCTACCCCATAATCCTTGATAAGATATTAGTGGTACAATGTATACAATAACAATTGTAAAAAAGGTGGGCGTTTTCTGCTAATTTTGTCACTTCAACATTTTTCAAAGTATACATTGTAAGTTGTTTGTGATTACACTACAGTGCTACTAGTAGTTATTAATATTTATATTCATTTTATTAAATTACTGACAATGGAAACTGTTCAACCTGAAAGCAAGATTTGTTGAATCAGAAGCAACGTTTCTTTAATATTGAATAAAATACAATGAAATAAATATTAATTTACAATAAAAATGTATGTTATTTTTATAAGATATAAATTATTCAGTCTATATTAACAAAGAAGACTGGGTTGTGCATACATATCCAAAAAATTAGGTCATTATATATGATTTTAAGTCCTTTATAGACCATAACAAATGTTTTTTTGTTTTTTTTTGGTTTTATTTTTTTCATCACTGTAATCAACAAAATCAATATGTTAATCAAATGTATATATCATACATTGTATTAATTATTCTGCTCTTCATGGGCGTCTTGATTGACAAATAAAACTATTCTTATTCTTATTCTTCTTATTCAATGACATAAAAACTATAAAAATATCTTACCAATGGTGCTGATTTTGGCTTTGGAGTACTCGTGACAGTCTTGCTGTAGCAATGGTCAGTTTGCTTGACCACTGGTGATGGCATTATGGAAACTGCTATAGGGCTGGGACATATAGACGAAGACATATATCCGCTGTCATCTAACAATGATCTTTTGACTGGTTTTGGAGTTATAGTCCGAAGCACAGGAGTCACTGGACTCTCAATGTTAATCTTATTGTTAACAACAACAGGCGTTTGAAATAGAGACACTGCAACTTGTGACCGTGAATGGCTTGAGTTAGGCGTTTGAAATAAGGACATTGCAACTGGTGACGGAGAAATTGTACTAACATTGATTTCAATTATATTGCTCATGGAGGTTATGTCACTCAAACACCTTTTGACACCTGGTTTTGAAGATTGACATTTATTTCTAAAGTCTAAAACAGTTTGGTCGATTTTCAATAATTTCTCATAGCAGCTTCTGCACAAACACCCTTCTGAAACGGTAATCTGTCCATACCTTGCCAGTAATACCGAAATATTTTTCCCTGCTTTATTTTTTCCATTTACACTTCGCTTTTCTTTCGGTGTTGTCCCACATACACAGCACAATTTGGAAGATTTCCTGGGTGTACCAAACTGTCTCGATGGATTCATCACGACCAATAGCACTATAAAACTTATAAATACATAATTTAATGTCATCACCGAAAGTTTTCCAGTATATCTAAAGGGAGCCACATTTTGTCCTTATTAACATCATAATTTGGTAGATCGTTGAAGCCATTTTTGTTGTTTACAAGATTATGCATATATTTATTCAGCCTCACTTTAGATTCAGAGTCAACTGGCACTGAATCGATCACGTGGTATTTGTTCCCCACCTGGCCCATACGACGCGCAGCTAGATATCGGGCCGGGATGCCAGGCTACCTGTCAGTGATTGGTTAGTCCTAATTTTGTCGCGCAATGCACACTGGGAAAGCTAAATATGACAACAACAATGGCGTCCTCCATAGTCGGCAGATTCAATACAACAATACTAAGTAAATTTGAGAACAGTTTAGGTTTGAAGTATGCTTTATCGTGCATAAACATGAAAAGACAAACTGAATATAACTTTCATAAGCCTAAACAAGCAGATTGCATAAATTTATTAAAGGAAAGTGACATAATTGCGTGTCTTCGCACTGGATATGGAAAATCCTTAATTTTTGAAACTTTGTCATATCAAAGTTACAAGCAGATACCGACAGTTTTGATAGTAAGTCCATTAAATTCAATCATAACTGAACAATTACAAAGGTGTGGGAAAGACGCTGTTTGTATAACAATGGGATTTATAGAGAAATTGAAGGAGAACCAATGTGATCTTGGTATAAACAGTGAAGAACATTGTGTGTGTGATGTCTGCAGATTTAGACAGTCAAATTATCGCTTTGTAATAGGACATCCTGAGCACATACTTAACAAGACAGTATTTGACATTTTCAAGAACTCTTGTTGGCAAGAGAAGGTGACTTACATCATAGTAGATGAAGCACATTGTATTGAAAAATGGGGAAATGATTTCAGAACAGACTACAAAAAGATTTCACAGCTCAGATCAGTCTTTCCTCTTTCCCGAGTATTAGCATTGACTGGAACTGCAACACAAAAGACGTGTGAAACAATTGAAAAATCCCTATGTTTGAAAAAAGTTCATGTTGTTAAATCATCAATTGTTAGAGACAATATTAAATTGCTGTGTGAAAAAAGGCCACCACAGAATACTCTGGACTCATTCAGGACAGTAATCAGTCCACTCATCAGTGATCTGAGGAAAAACAAAGACAAATTTCCGAAAACTGTAGTCTATTCAAAGTTAAAGTGGTGTGCAGAAGGCTACCAATTGACCATGAAGCCAGAGGAAGATGGGACTTCAGTTTGTGAGGAAGTTAAGACAATTGTTTCCCAGTACCATGCACCATGTACAGAAAAGGTAATTTTAGACCTAAAAAGTATTTAGGGGACAACTGTTTGATATTAAGAAAGGGGGAGGGGTAGAATTTGAAAATATTATCCTGACCCGTTGAGAACTGATAATCTTTTCAAAGACAGGGTGAAAATAGATATTCTTCAAAAGAATTATACTGTAGGAAATAAATGAGTACACGTAATAGTAAATTTTTGTCGACCACAAAAATAATAACAAGCTGAACTAGTTACTGACATGACTGATGAAAATGAATATTCAGCAAAGAAAAAATTTCCTGCCCCCTTTTTAATCTTGGCAATTATTTCATCAAATGTGAGCAGATGTATATACATGTATTCGTTGTATGATTACGAATATGGATTACTTTGTTCTTTTTTAACATTTTCGATAAGTATGTGCATGATATGCAAACTACATGTAGCCTGAAAGCTCATTTTTTATAATAAATTTTGTTAAATTGATGTCTGATTATGTCATGATATGTATTATAATTTAAGTAATTATTACTGTAAATTCAGAAATTATTGCGATGTTTTTATTATTGCGAAAAATGCGACAGAGTTATAATCGCAATAGTTTAAACTCGCATTTTGAAATTTTTTATATGAATTCAACAGGATGATTCTCAATATCGCAAAAATTAAAATCGGATTTTAGTCTTAAATGACAAAATCGCAATAATAAATGCACGCAATAATTTCTGAATTTACAGTAATTATTTCACAGTTTAAAGCAGAAGTTGTTGAGCAGATGAATTGTGGTAGTCTACGTCTCCTGTTTGCAACAGAAGCCTATAGCATGGGTACTGATGCTCCTGATATAAGACAAGTGGTACACTATGGGGTTCCTAGCTCTTTGGAAAGTAAGTTGATGTGCTAGAATGTAAAAATAAGGAGATGTAGTATAATTGCCAATGAGACAACTCTCCACCCGAGGCCAAGTGACAAACACATGAATAAAAAAACAATTACAAGTCACCGTGCGATCTTCAACAATGAGCAAAATCCATACTGCATAGTCAGTTATAAAAGGTCCAGAAATGACAAATATAAAACAACTGAAACAAACCTATTCAGTATATTTCCTTTGAATAATATATTCATACAAGTCATGCATGTACATGTACATGTATGCAATATTCACAGAGAAGAGGAGACCATAAAATTGATTCACACTAATGATAATATATCAGATACATGTACCTACCTTTTTCATTAAGGAGTCACTTGCCATTGTATCTCTTCAGACCCCCCCCCCCCCCCCACTAAAATAATTTATTGTAGTGTTTTTGTGTTAATGGATGCATGTACACATGTATTGTAGTATATTTGAATGTTACTAATCTTTTGCTTTCTTTTCAGCATATCTTCAGGAAGTTGGACGAGCAGGCAGAGATGGAATCTTTTCAACAGCAACACTTTACTACAACAAGTACGATATAGGAAAAAATATGCCTGTTGATCAGGAAGTTAGAGACTTTGTTATGACAACAGATTGTAGGTGGGAAAATTTATGCAAATATTTTGGAAGTGAGTTTGCCAGAAAGGTTGATGGTCACGACTGTTGTGATAACTGTGAGAAACATTGTGACTGTTTACTTTGCTATGAACCTTTACTAGAAACTGACATGACTGAGGAATTACCGAAAAAATCAAAGAAAATGAAGCTTGAAACTGACAATAAAGAAGTGTTAAGGTCTTTATTGTTTCAATATTTCAAGGCTGAAAGCGAAATTACAGAAATGCCAAACAATATTCCATCAACAGGACTGTCCCTTGATCTGATTGAAAAAATCTGCAGTTCTAGAGAACGTCTAGAGACAGTACAACAGATTCTGGAATTGTTTCCTTACTTAAAACACCAATATGCGGAGAACATTGCTGTGATTATTGGACATGCTAAGCATTCTTCTTAAACAACTATGTTCATATACATTGTCTGGACAGCATTTCTTTGATATGAACTACATGAAAAATATAAATGACCTTTCAAAAACCAAAGATTTTTATATATTTTCAGTGAATTGTTTTTTTGTAAGTTCCAGGACGCTCATATACATGATATACATACGCATGAATAAGTACTCTCAATTTCTTTCACATGCCATAATATATATTTATTAAATACTTAATACAGAATGTAATTTGTATAATGAATGTTATCACTCAGACTTCAATTGATTTCCATGTGTTGTTCTTTGTATTAATTTTGGGGATTTCACATTGGGTGCCTATACCTTGTCTGGCTATGGGGAGCATGTGGTGGTTTGTGTGTCTGTTTTTTCAGAGGAAATGGTAGTTAGTGTTGTCTGTGTACTGTTAAGAATTTTTGATGATTCTATTTATTCTCTTTTGATTGATTGTTTTCTTTTTGTCCAGTGGCAAACATTTCATCTATATTCAGGACTAGAACAAGTGAAAAATAAATATGACAGTTAGGGCTTAAAAGTGGTCGAACAGCCACAGGGTCATACCCTTCGTGCATATTCAGGACTAGACCAAGTGAATAATAAATATTATGGGTAGCAGTACGTGAGGTCCTGAAAAGTGTTTAACCAGGGTCCTTTCTTATCTGTATTGTGTATGAAATGGACTCGTTCAAATGTACATACATGTACCAAGACGCACCCAATGCTGCTTATAAAGCACTTAGGGAATGACTTGTAGCAAATATATATGTATCCTGATTCCTGCATTTATGAGACTGCTTGCATTGTGTCCTTACACTTAATTAAATCTGTATTGTCATGAATATGCATGAAATAATTGCTACATTAAGTAAGCAGTAATTAATCCCTAAATCTATAGCAGTGTAATGATGGACATTTTAGATGTTTAGTCTTTGAGAACATGGTTTATTTGTTGAAATTGGGCTTTGAACTAACTTTGGCGTTTACCTTTCGGTTATTTGTTTTTTGTGCATAGTCCTGATTTAATCAATCGTCCCTTTCATACTGATTTTCACATCAAGAGCCAGGATTCTTTAATTCAATGGTTTTCTTTTGTTCTCTGTAGAATCATTTCAGATTTTTTTTATTTCAAGGGTCTTTTATAACTTACAATACCAACTTGTTTTTGCTTATTGTTGCAGGTCACATGGAAACCATAACGTGTTACTGGGCAATCTTTAATTTTATTGTTTTGTTTTTATTGACATATTGGAAAATTGTCTCATTGGCAATCTAACCATACAACATATTTTTATATGGAAATAGATGTGTATTCATAATCATTAGCTAGGCCATCATAAATAAATTCCTAAATTCACTTCTGTCTGTCAGTTTTTAAAAAATAATTAGTAACAAAACTATACAGAATCTAGGAATATATTTATTATGGCATACGTTGAAGATGTATGTACAGCACAAATTATCATTTAATAATTTTATTCATTTCATTCAGAAAAACATATTCAACATGAGCAACAAAAAAAACTTTGTGAAACAATGGATTCATATGCAGTCAACATAAATATACAAATTTCAAAAGCAATACAGATCCAAAAAAAATTATTTACATGTATGTATAATAACAGTGGACAAAGTTGACATACTGAGTTTTTTGGCCACCCTTAAACAAATGTTTAACCATAATAATTAAAAGTCAAGATTGGGTTAAAACTTTCAGAATGACACGTAAATTCACAAAAAAAGTGGTAAAAACTCAAATTGCAATTGATTAACTGATTAAACACAGGCCTAACTTTAATATATCTATATTATTTATCAATTGTGTCATTTATTGTGGATAAATCAATTGCATTAGCAGTGTTCCTTTAAAAATAAAATTAATGCAGCACTACACTGTTTAAACTGATCAAGCACTACATTGAGAAACATTTATCAAGCACTACATTGAGAAAAATTTATCAAGCACTACATTGAGAAACATTTACCAAGCACAACATTGAGATACATTTTTCAAGAACAACATTGAGATACTCTTATCAAGCACAAAATTGAGATACACTTATCAAGCCCTACATTGAGAAACATTTACCAAGCACAACATTGAGAAACATTTAAAAAGCTTATGTAGCATTATTGAGAAAAACTTATGCAGCACTACAGAGAGTAATATTTCAGTGAAATTGCATACCATGTTTACACTTATAAAAAGTAACAAAGACAGCAATATTTGACCTATATAAACTAGAGGCTCTCAAGAGCCTGTGTCGCTCACCTGTATTTACTGATGCTTTGGAAATCATGTAAAATAAGGTTAAAATCATAATTAATAGTATTAGATATTAGCTATTATAATGATATCTAAGATAATAACAAAAAACTGCCAATTTTTTGTAAAATTACTAACTCAGGGTCAGCAACCCAACAACGGGTCGTCGGATTTGTCTGAAAATTTCAGGGCAGATAAATCTAAATCTGATGAACATTTTTGCCACCTGTCAGATTTGCTCTAAATGCTTTAGTTTCAGAGATATAAACCAAAAACTGCATTTTACCCCTATGTTCTATTTTTAGCCATGGCGGCCATCTTGGTTAGTTGGCGGGGTCATCGGACAAATATTTTAAACTAGATACCCTAATAATGATTATGGCCAAGTATGGTTAAATTTGTATCAGTAGTTTCAGAGAAGAAGATTTTTGTAAAAGATTACAAAAATTATCAAAAAATTGTTAAAAATTGATTATTAAGGGCAATAACTCCTAAAGGGGTCGACTGACAATTTTGGTCATGACAACTTATTTGTAGATCTTACTTTGCTGAACATTATTGCTGTTTACAGTTTATCTCTATCTATAATAATATTCAAGATAATAACCAAAAACTGCAAAATTTCCTTAAAATTACCAATTCAGGGGCAGCAACCCAACAACAGGTTGTCAGATTTGTCTGAAAATTTCAGGGCAGATAGATCTTGACCTGATAATCAGTTTTACCCCCATGTCAGATTACCTCTAAATGCTTTGGTTAAAGAGATATAAGCCAAAATCTACATTTTACCCCTATGTTCTATTTTTAGCCATGGCGGCAATCTTGGTTGGTTGGCGGGGTCATCGGACACATTTTTTAAACTAGATACCCTAATGATGATTGTGGCCAAGTTTGGTTAAATTTGGCCCAGTGGTTTCAGAGGAGAAGATTTTTGTAAAAAGCTAACTACGACGGACGACGACGACGACGACGACGCCGACGACGACGACGACGGACGACGGACGACGGACGCCAAGTGATGAGAAAAGCTCACTTGACCCTTCGGGTCAGGTGAGCTAAAAATGTACAAATGTTTAGGTACAATATATTAATGCTGAAGAGAAGTAGGCACAGTCAGTACATGTACATGTAATATGTCAGGAATATTTATTGGCCTAGGTCGTTTGCATTGATAACGATCCTAGATCTTATCCAAGAATGATAATGATCAACATTCATATATTCAATAACCGATTTCTTAATGTTTGGAAAGTCATTATGAAGTCTCCCTGACTGAAACGAAAATGGTCTAAGTTTTCTTAAGTCTTGAATCATCAATAACTCATCACCATCAGAATCCTTTTTTTTGTGTTTTTTGCATCTATGAACTACACCACTAGCTTTATCAAAATGTTCTGATAAATCTTGAATTCCTGATAAGGATCTGGTCTGCTTTGCAATGTTTGCTTCACTTTTGTTGGAATACATATGTTTTATGTGTTTTTTTATGGTCTTGACCATATACTCCATCTGCAAGTCAGCAGGGATATAACTGTCCACCTTTCCTTTGGTGTTGACAAACATTCCTGTAACAACCTCAGCTGCCTCCTTTTCTGACAAGGTAGAAATTTGTTGTATCAGAAAGCGGTGTATTTCCAAAGCATATTTGCTGTTATTGGACCTCGCTTTAAATACTGTCATACTGTGCTTCAACAACCTCAACATTTGATTCCGTTCTGGAGATTTGCAAACACCCAACAGCTCTTTAAACAGCATACCCAATTCTAACACTAAATGTCCATAGTTCTTAACCTTGTCACTTCCTTCATCAACCGACTTCTTATTGGTTGTTCTGATTCTGGGACAAATTGAGATCTCAGTTCCATTTGACAATTTCAATGTTACTGGTAGGTACTGCCCATCCTCTGAAAATAACATTAACCAAGAATTAATTCCACAAGTTTAACTATATGAAACAACCGTTAAAAATGCAAATGAACTTTAAACAATTAAAGCTAAGGTACCCAGGCCAGTATACAGTCATTGACAGGATTTAAGGGTATTTTGTTTGATCTCAATACAAATCTGGTGTCCAAAGAAACCAAAACGAAACAAAATTGTAGGCTGTACAGTTGCCTATAATTGCTTACATTCACTTCATTCAATCTTCGGTGGATAGTTGTCTCATTTGCAATCATACCACATCTCCTTTTTAGGGATATATAGTCTCATATAACTATGTCGGATTGTGAAAGTAAATATGTTTTATATACAGGTATGTGAAAAGTAAGGAAATATATAACATTAACACTTTATAAAAGTTAGTGTTGAAGTGCTTTTCTAGATTAATCTTCATCAGGAATGCTATAAGCCAAAAATTTGAAAGCCAGATGCTTAAATATGGAAGTAATTACAAGTTGTATTGTATACTATAAGCTACATGTATTAATGCTTACCAATAACCTCATCCTGGATATCTTCAATTTTTTTTGGCCACACCATTTCATCAACCAGTTTTCCAATCACCTCATTCATCCATGTCTTTTTCTCCTCTACTGATGAAAATTCTGGTGGAATATTTTTGGTTGGGACTGATAGATGGTCCTCCATTCCAAAACGTTCACATAATAGTTCAACAATGTATGCATCTAAAAAGGCAATCACAAAGTCTTTATCTGCACCATAAGCCTTTTTAACATCTTGGTCAACCTGACTTCTCATTACTCTATTTATCTCACACTTGAGGGTCCCAAGGTCTCCCGCACTTTTGTCACTATACAAAAAGTCAAAAAATCCTTGCAAGAAGTTCATGAGAAGATGAAACATTTCAAATGTTACAGGGGTCAGGTGTTCGAAGCGATTTTTCACATTGTTTTCAGCTGCTCTTAAACCTTTTGCACCAGAAAACCTCTCACGGGTAAGTTGATCACCACCAATGTGGATTTTGACATCATCTGTTACTTCTTTTCCTGCTGCATTGAATGTTGTCTCCAATATGTTTTCATAACTGTCTAAAATGTCTACAACATCAGAATAGTACATTTCATTTTTAAGAACAGTCTCCAGTGGAATTACCTTAGTTTTTTTGTGGTTTTCACTTGTCTTGGTTATAGTACCTGTAGCTATAGGGTTCTGTAGAGAAATGTCTTCCAAGAATTTAAAATATGGAATATGCTTTTTTGCAACAGTTACAATTTGATTAATATAGTCTTGTCTTAATGCTTGGTAGTCATCCTGATTCATGAGCAAATCCTGTACATTTACATCAGTCCAAGGCTTTTGTGGTCGTTCCGAGGAAAGGTGTGCAAAGTCAACATCATGGATCAAAGCAATGGAAGCAAATGCATGATGAAGGTGTTGTGTTTTTCCATTGTCCTGCGACCTCTGGTCCCTGATGCCAACAGCATAATTTACATTGTCGCCAACTATCCTTAATCTTTTGCCCTCATTTATGGCAGCAGCAAGTTGTTGTGTGTATGACTGGCCTACTTCATGCAAAAGGTGTTGTGACTGCTCATAGCTTAGACATACACCAACAGGCTGAAACCGGTCATAAATCTGAAATACAAAAAAATAAAGTTAGAGAATGGAAACCAAAAATTCAGCAATTTTTATGTTTAGAATGGGGCATAACTCAAGAACAGTAAAAGCGAAGCCATCCAATTTCTAATTGATCTGTATTTTATGGTAATAAGCATTGTGTATAAGTTTCATACAGTACAACCTGTGACTTCCTCTTAGTTATGTCCACCCTCTTGTATGGTCACCATTGAATGGTGGCCATTTATTGGGGTATTCAATCTTGAGATGTTGGCCATTTACTGGGGTCATAAAACATAGGTTGAAGTTTTATCTAATTATGTTACCTGTTGAAATCAATCAGGGTTGAAGTTTTCAGCTTGTATGTTTCATTAAAATTAAACTGTACAGGTAACTCAGGTTTCCTATCAAATTGACATTTCACCTTTTCTTGAAAATGTAGAATAGAATGTTGTTTTAGTCTTTGTTAATTCATATCGTTGATTTTTCTGTCTTTAAATTTACATACTTTCCTTTTTATCTAATGTTTTTATTTTTTTATGTTATTTGTTTTTTTGCTTCTTAATCTTTAAATTTCTGCTTGGAAAGAATCTTGAGTAGAAAACAAAACAGAGAATCCTTTAAATAAATATTTTTTCAGTAAAAAAAAGTTATTGCACATATGTACATGGTATTCAATTGTTTGTTTGCATTATAAAATGAATTAATATTAATTATAACTTATAATTATGCAAATGATATGTTTAAAGGAACCATGAAGCAAGTAATTTAACAAGCCTGTTTCTTAGAAATGAAAATTATCAATATCATGAATATCAATCCTTTTACAATAAATTTTGTCAACAAAGTTGTACAATCTATTATCATGATTATTTTTCAGGAAAACTACAAATATCATTATATAGTATAGGAATAAACTATTTTTGTTTTATCTTTATATTTTTCAAATCTCAAAACTGGAGTTGTGCATGAACAATCACTAAAGTAAGAGACTTAAATTTTCCAAATGGCTACCTAGTTATCATCAAATTTTGATAAACATGATAAATGCTAATCATAATGGTAATCATAATGAAAAATGTTCTTATCTCTGAATAAAGTAAATCTTATGAAAAGAAATTATTTAAAGAAAAAATTGTCTTGCATTTTGAAACAATTGTAAACTTATCAAATATGTTATCTTCAGTTTGGCTAATTTTGTCAGTTAACAGGCAAAATTTGTCTCCAGAAAAAATGAAGTACACTTCTATATAGATTGTGACATTTTTATGGTCAATTAATTAAATCGCTTTTTGTTCTGTGTATTGTATTGTCGAAACTGCAGGACTGGCATATGCATGATACATATTCTTGGTATCCATTTGCAAAGAATATTTCACTCAACTCAGGCCTTTTAGATAAAGTTAATAATTGCAGGGAGTTGAATGAATTAGATTCTTTAAAGCCCTTGATTAAAAATGAATTTTAAGAAAAAATATAAGAATATTTTTGAAAATAAAATAAAAACTTATGATGAAAACAGTAAACTCAAATGCTTCACTAAGTAAAGAATTAGTGGTCATAATTTAGAAATAGAAAATGGTGGATAAAAATTCCTATAAAAGATAGAATTGTTTGTAAAATTATCATAACAACTTAGAGATGAGATTATCTATTTGCAAATTGTTTACCTTCTCATAATAATGTCTCTGACCAGTTTATGAATAAAATCTTGAATCTTATGAATAAATTCTTAACCAAGAACAAAAAGTAAAAGGAATAATAAACCTCTATAACATGGAACATGTAAAAAAAAGTCATTAGATCTGAGGGCAGAAACCTAATAATTTTTTTCCATGTGTTTTGATTTCTTATAGAAATGTTATTTCTTTGCATTATAATGTTTTTGGTTGTTTTTTGTTGTTGTCAGAAACTTGATTTAATTGTAATATGTTTATATGACAATAAAAATATTATTAAATTTTTCTGTAATGATTATTTTGAATATACATGTAGTTATTCAATAGCGAAATAATGATTTGCCTTAATTTTATATAGAATAAGTCCTAAAGATAATCTTAAACATTTGTTAATGTTAAATGCAGTAAGTATAAACAATTTTGATTTTAGAAAATTAATTTGAGAAACACCTTTTTAATGGAAAAAGGCAGGGTGAAAGTTTGCATTATATTAGAAGATGATATTCATTTGTTATTCACTTGCCTAAAAATACATATAAAAAATAACTTTAATTGACAGAATTATTTAAAAGGTATAACATAATAAAACAAACAGTGATGATAAAATTTTTACAAAAAAAGGTTAGGAAGCTTTATGTTCAACTAGTTTTTTTATTTCATTTTATTTTAGAATTTTCTTGTCATAATCACAGTTATTAAATTTGACAAACACATATATTTTACCTGAGACACTTTACCTGTAAGTTATATAATTTTAACACTTCAATGCAGTCATGATTTCCCTTTATCATTGACAAGTTTTTGATTAATACCTTGTGTATTAATTAAGCAACAGGAGGTATAATGATGGACATTTAGGGCCATCATGGTGACCATATTTTTTATGGCCACCATTAATAAGATAATGTCACAGGCAGTACTGTAACATTTGGTTGAGGCAAACAAAAGTTAAAGAACGGAAACGAAAAATTCAGCAATTTTTATGTTTAGAAAGGGGCATAACTCAAGAACGATATAAGTGACGCCACCCAATTTCACACTTGATCTGTATTTTATAGTAATGAGCATTGTGTATAAGTTTCATAACATTTGGTTGAGGCAAACTAAAGTTAAAGAAAGGAAACCCAATTTGGGACGTACAGACGGACAAGGGTAAAAATTAATGCCCCCTCCACTACAGCCGGGGCATAAAAATTAGCATATTGTTACTGAATCATTTAATTACATTGTAAATAACAACAACTGTTGACTAGTTTTGATGAATTACACATAGCAGTCCAGCTTCAACACAATACATGTATGTCAATGTACAACTAACATTTGTACATAAGGTCATGGATACACATCATGCACATGTGCACCTAATAAATTTATTATTTTTTTTATTGAACTGGTGTATGCATGCAATGAATGAAATTTTCCCTTTTCAACAGATTCTATACATATTGTAAATATAAAATGAAGTTCTTGTCAATGATCCTTTGGCAGGTTTATAATAGACTGTTAAGAGTTTGAAATTAGGAGTTTACATACATCTGTATCAAATTATGGCACTAAAATTTATATTAATGTCAAAGTAAAATGTTTACCACAGTTTGATTTAGTTACTTTTCATTCATGTCTCTGATTGTCATTGTTGTTAAATATTTTTGTTTCAAATACATGTACATGTACTTCTTACATACTTCAGTGGAAGATTTTTAAGAGTCATGACAAGGTAGAAAATAAGGAGGCCTCATAAAGTATGTGTATGCGTATCAGTAATACAGGTTTTCTTCAAATTTCAAACATTTAAAAAAAAAATTGAATTCAACATACATGTATATCACATACATGTATCAAGTGGTTTGCGATGTAAAAAAAATGCATTCAATTTTTTTTAATTTCTAGACCATTGTTCATGATGAGCTTTGTCTAAGCAGTCGTTCAGTACACATTTACATGTACATGTATGCTAGCCAGAAGAATTTATATATATAATTTAGCTTTTTCAAATTCTATACAATCGATACAGCTATATATATATTTAAGCATATTAAAACTATCAATGTCTGCCTAATTGAATGTTCAGATATATAAAGAGAAACAATACATCAAAACTTTTCAAACCATATATGTTATAAAATTTAAGTTATAATCATGATAATGATTATTTTTAGATAAAATATGATACTCTTTTTTAAGTCTGTTTTGCATTTGACATCTGTATCAAATTTTTGTTTAACATCAATAAGTAAAAATTAGACAGTATTTATTTTTCTTTATAAATTGATGTACAGTATTACCATATGTAATTATCAGTCTGATCATAATTAGTAAGCAGAAACAGGTAAATTCTTATCAGCAATCACCTGGTGAGAAAGTTAAAACTATAAGATTTCACATGGCCAAGCCGCCAAGGTGTGAATTAGATTTCAATTTTACGACTTAATTCACATGTACACATGTATCTAAAAGGGCAAAAGACAGTAACACATGGGAAAAAACCATAAAAAGTAAAGGACAACAAAAACTGCAGTTATATAAAAAAAAAACTTCAAATTTAATTCCATTCCCCTTTTATGAATTTGCACTAGATGTACATATACAATGTTTTGTTTGCATTGAATTGTCAAACATTTACATTGCACAATGCCACATGCATGTAGGCTACATGTATTTTTAATTATTTCATGTTCTGAAAAGTGTTGAAGGCTCTGTGACCATTATGACTTAGATGAAAACCAACAATAAAAGAGCAGTTCCTTTGCTTTTCTGTAATTTTACTGTTTTTTTAGTGTAAGTCATTGATGAGTATCTCTTACATGTCATATTTTTCCCCTTCTATACTGAACAAAAATATATTCTGATTCTAAAAGACACACATTGCTTGTATAAATTAATTCCTATTCAAAAGAGACATAAAATGACTGCTCACGTAAATTAATTCTTATTCTTCATTTCTTAAGGACATTCAATGATTCATGTTGGATATCTGGATGGGGAAAAACATGTCTTTGACCTTATGTATATATATATATATATATACAGTGTATATATATATATATATTAGTTTTTATATCATACAGCAAAACAAGTTCACACTATGGCCTGTGTATACATTAGTATGTTTACTGTCTTTATGATAGGGTTTAAATTATAATCTTTTTTAATAAATGAGAATTCTATTTGTATATAGACTCTTGATAGAGAGTTGTCTCATTGGCATTCATACCGCATCTTCTTATATCTACATTTGTATGCGTATATCTTTTAAAAAAGTCCTAAGTAAAGAATGTGCATGGCTAAACATGGCTAACACATGTATGAAATAAAGAATAGAAGTAATGCATTATTAATACAATTGTCCCACAACCATGCAATGATATACTTGAAAATAATAATAAACTACAAACAGTACATGTACACATACATCTAGATATATACTACAGGCAAAAGTGCTCCAGCAGGGAATGACATCATGTGTAAGTACAGTCACTGATGTTTTTTAGGTTACGTTTTTTTGTTGCTTTTCATTACATTTATAGGTGAAAAGTGGAAAATTTGTAAAACATGTTAATCTTTTAATTTATAAATTGTGTACATATGAACATGATTTGCTTGTTCCATATAATATACAGCTATATATGCTTTGTAACTTTCCAACTACTGAAGCACTTACAAACTATGCTATCGAATACATGTACATTTGTATCTAAAGAAAAGAGTACCGTATACACAGAATAAAGTAATACATTTATACACACAACCACCCAATACTTACATCTACTAGTTATCACCTAGGCTATAAAATGAATTTGAGCATGTTGAGAAAAAGGTTGAAATATATACATCACATGATACATGTAGTTGGTTTTGCTTTCCTTTTTTATTTCTATTAAGATCTGTTTATCATTTTTATAAGAGAAATTTTTATTACATACAATGTACATCATCGTATCATTTATAATTGAGAAAAAAAGTCAGTAATTAAGACAATTCAAATAGAAAACTTTTTGAGTTTTATTTAACAAAAGATATTTTTAAAAGCTCGAGCTCTTTCAACATTTATAAAGTAATAAAAACATTATAATCTTTTCTAAATTTATATTACAAACTTTGAACCGACACATATTGTCCAATTTACAATCCAATAATATAATATCACAATACCTTTTGATCTGCTATGTTGTCTAACAGGCATAGAGTCATCATCCTCTGCACTAAGCTTAGCTTGTGGTGTCTTGTCTGTGCACAAACTGCATACACCATTCCCATCCTTGGCAATATCTTGTCTCTATTTTTCTCCCCAGAAGACATTATACCTTCCACTATGCTTGCAAGTAAGGGAAACTGACTTTTAAATTCTTCACAAATTTTGTCCCAGGAAAATCCATACATATTGTCACATGTTTTTTTCATCAGAACACTAACAAATCCATGTTTTTCTTTATTTAGAATTTTCATTTTCTCCTCACTTTCAGTTTGGAAGTAATTTGTCACATGTTTCAAAAAATCTTTATTTTTTAACAACAGATCTCCAATGTGTGAGATGTATCCACCAGAATGTAGTAATGAAGCAAGATGTGCTTTTTCAGTTTTGCTTAAAGATGGTACTGTAACTGTAACATTTTCATCTGCCCCCTCATGGTTTACTGGAGTATTAGTAGAACTCTTTGAAGCCTGAAAAATTATTAGTTCACATGAATACTACTTTAGCTTACAGTTGTCCAAGTTGGCAATATTGTTTGATTCTACATGTACATGCATACACGTAGAATTGTTGAACTAAATGTTTGGGTTAATACATTTAACATTTCAAATGATGTGGGCAGGTGCAAAGATACATGTACATGTATTTTAATTCATAATTACATTAGACATTAACAATATTTATTAAGTTTAAATTATTTTGTTATTATAAGGGGTTGTTTCGTTGACACCTACCCCATAATCCTTGATAAGATATTAGTGGTACAATGTATACAATAACAATTGTAAAAAAAGGTGGGCGTTTTCTGCTAATTTTGTCACTTCAACATTTTTCAAAGTATACATTGTAAGTTGTTTGTGATTACACTACAGTGCTACTAGTAGTTATTAATATTTATATTCATTTTATTAAATTACTGACAATGGAAACTGTTCAACCTGAAAGCAAGATTTGTTGAATCAGAAGCAACGTTTCTTTAATATTGAATAAAATACAATGAAATAAATATTAATTTACAATAAAAATGTATGTTATTTTTATAAGATATAAATTATTCAGTCTATAATAACAAAGAAGACTGGGTTGTGCATACATATCCAAAAAATTAGGTCATTATATATGATTTTAAGTCCTTTATAGACCATAACAAATGTTTTTTTGTTTTTTTTTGGTTTTATTTTTTTCATCACTGTAATCAACAAAATCAATATGTTAATCAAATGTATATATCATACATTGTATTAATTATTCTGCTCTTCATGGGCGTCTTGATTGACAAATAAAACTATTCTTATTCTTATTCTTCTTATTCAATGACATAAAAACTATAAAAATATCTTACCAATGGTGCTGATTTTGGCTTTGGAGTACTCGTGACAGTCTTGCTGTAGCAATGGTCAGTTTGCTTGACCACTGGTGATGGCATTATGGAAACTGCTATAGGGCTGGGACATATAGACGAAGACATATATCCGCTGTCATCTAACAATGATCTTTTGACTGGTTTTGGAGTTATAGTCCGAAGCACAGGAGTCACTGGACTCTCAATGTTAATCTTATTGTTAACAACAACAGGCGTTTGAAATAGAGACACTGCAACTTGTGACCGTGAATGGCTTGAGTTAGGCGTTTGAAATAAGGACATTGCAACTGGTGACGGAGAAATTGTACTAACATTGATTTCACTTATATTGCTCATGGAGGTTATGTCACTCAAACACCTTTTGACACCTGGTTTTGAAGATTGACATTTATTTCTAAAGTCTAAAACAGTTTGGTCGATTTTCAATAATTTCTCATAGCAGCTTCTGCACAAACACCCTTCTGAAACGGTAATCTGTCCATACCTTGCCAGTAATACCGAAATATTTTTCCCTGCTTTTTTTTTTCCATTTACACTTCGCTTTTCTTTCGGTGTTGTCCCACATACACAGCACAATTTGGAAGATTTCCTGGGTGTACCAAACTGTCTCGATGGATCCATCACGACCAATAGCACTATAAAACTTATAAATACATAATTTAATGTCATCACCGAAAGTTTTCCAGTATATCTAAAGGGAGCCACATTTTTTCCTTATTAACATCATAATTTGGTAGATCGTTGAAGCCATTTTTGTTGTTTACAAGATTATGCATATATTTATTCAGCCTCACTTTAGATTCAGAGTCAACTGGCACTGAATCGATCACGTGGTATTTGTTCCCCACCTGGCCCATACGACGCGCAGCTAGATATCGGGCCGGGATGCCAGGCTACCTGTCAGTGATTGGTTAGTCCTAATTTTGTCGCGCAATGCACACTGGGAAAGCTAAATATGACAACAACAATGGCGTCCTCCATAGTCGGCAGATTCAATACAACAATACTAAGTAAATTTGAGAACAGTTTAGGTTTGAAGTATGCTTTATCGTGCATAAACATGAAAAGACAAACTGAATATAACTTTCATAAGCCTAAACAAGCAGATTGCATAAATTTATTAAAGGAAAGTGACATAATTGCGTGTCTTCGCACTGGATATGGAAAATCCTTAATTTTTGAAACTTTGTCATATCAAAATTACAAGCAGATACCGACAGTTTTGATAGTAAGTCCATTAAATCCAATCATAACTGAACAATTACAAAGGTATGGGAAAGACGCTGTTTGTATAACAATGGGATTTATAGAGAAATTGAAGGAGAACCAATGTGATCTTGGTATAAACAGTGAAGAACATTGTGTGTGTGATGTCTGCAGATTTAGACAGTCAAATTATCGCTTTGTAATAGGACATCCTGAGCACATACTTAACAAGACAGTATTTGACATTTTCAAGAACTCTTGTTGGCAAGAGAAGGTGACTTACATCATAGTAGATGAAGCACATTGTATTGAAAAATGGGGAAATGATTTCAGAACAGACTACAAAAAGATTTCACAGCTCAGATTAGTCTTTCCTCTTTCCCGAGTATTAGCATTGACTGGAACTGCAACACAAAAGACGTGTGAAACAATTGAAAAATCCCTATGTTTGAAAAAAGTTCATGTTGTTAAATCATCAATTGTTAGAGACAATATTAAATTGCTGTGTGAAAAAAGGCCACCACAGAATACTCTGGACTCATTCAGGACAGTAATCAGTCCACTCATCAGTGATCTGAGGAAAAACAAAGACAAATTTCCGAAAACTGTAGTCTATTCAAAGTTAAAGTGGTGTGCAGAAGGCTACCAATTGACCATGAAGCCAGAGGAAGATGGGACTTCAGTTTGTGAGGAAGTTAAGACAATTGTTTCCCAGTACCATGCACCATGTACAGAAAAGGTGATTTTAGACCTAAAAAGTATTTAGGGGACAACTGTTTGATATTAAGAAAGGGGGAGGGGTAGAATTTGAAAATATTATCCTGACCCGTTGAGAACTGATAATCTTTTCAAAGACAGGGTGAAAATAGATATTCTTCAAAAGAATTATACTGTAGGAAATAAATGAGTACACGTAATAGTAAATTTTTGTCGACCACAAAAATAATAACAAGCTGAACTAGTTACTGACATGACTGATGAAAATGAATATTCAGCAAAGAAAAAATTTCCTGCGCCCTTTTTAATCTTGGCAATTATTTCATCAAATGTGAGCAGATGTATATACATGTATTCGTTGTATGATTACGAATATGGATTACTTTGTTCTTTTTTAACATTTTCGATAAGTATGTGCATGATATGCAAACTACATGTAGCCTGAAAGCTCATTTTTTATAATAAATTTTGTTAAATTGATGTCTGATTATGTCATGATATGTATTATAATTTAAGTAATTATTAATTATTTCACAGTTTAAAGCAGAAGTTGTTGAGCAGATGAATTGTGGTAGTCTACGTCTCCTGTTTGCAACAGAAGCCTATAGCATGGGTACTGATGCTCCTGATATAAGACAAGTGGTACACTATGGGGTTCCTAGCTCTTTGGAAAGTAAGTTGATGTGCTAGAATGTAAAAATAAGGAAATGTAGTATAATTGCCAATGAGACAACTCTCCACCCGAGGCCAAGTGACAAACACATGAATAAAAAAACAATTACAAGTCACCGTGCGATCTTCAACAATGAGCAAAATCCATACTGCATAGTCAGTTATAAAAGGTCCAGAAATGACAAATATAAAACAACTGAAACAAACCTATTCAGTATATTTCCTTTGAATAATATATTCATACAAGTCATGCATGTACATGTACATGTATGCAATATTCACAGAGAAGAGGAGACCATAAAATTGATTCACACTAATGATAATATATCAGATACATGTACCTACCTTTTTCATTAAGGAGTCACTTGCCATTGTATCTCTTCAGACCCCCCCCCCCCCCCCCACTAAAATAATTTATTGTAGTGTTTTTGTGTTAATGGATGCATGTACACATGTATTGTAGTATATTTGAATGTTACTAATCTTTTGCTTTCTTTTCAGCATATCTTCAGGAAGTTGGACGAGCAGGCAGAGATGGAATTTTTTCAACAGCAACACTTTACTACAACAAGTACGATCTAGGAAAAAATATGCCTGTTGATCAGGAAGTTAGAGACTTTGTTATGACAACAGATTGTAGGTGGGAAAATTTATGCAAATATTTTGGAAGTGAGTTTGCCAGAAAGGTTGATGGTCACGACTGTTGTGATAACTGTGAGAAACATTGTGACTGTTTACTTTGCTATGAACCTTTACTAGAAACTGACATGACTGAGGAATTACCGAAAAAATCAAAGAAAATGAAGCTTGAAACTGACAATAAAGAAGTGTTAAGGTCTTTATTGTTTCAATAGTTCAAGGCTGAAAGCGAAATTACAGAAATGCCAAACAATATTCCATCAACAGGACTGTCCCTTGATCTGATTGAAAAAATCTGCAGTTCTAGAGAACGTCTAGAGACAGTACAACAGATTCTGGAATTGTTTCCTTACTTAAAACACCAATATGCGGAGAACATTGCTGTGATTATTGGACATGCTAAGCATTCTTCTTAAACAACTATATTCATATACATTGTCTGGACAGCATTTCTTTGATATGAACTACATGAAAAATATAAATGACCTTTCAAAAACCAAAGATTTTTATATATTTTCAGTGAATTGTTTTTTTGTAAGTTCCAGGACGCTCATATACATGATATACATACGCATGAATAAATACTCTCAATTTCTTTCACATGCCATAATATATATTTATTAAATACTAAATACAGAATGTAATTTGTATAATGAATGTTATCACTCAGACTTCAATTGATTTCCATGTGTTGTTCTTTGTATTAATTTTGGGGATTTCACATTGGGTGCCTATACCTTGTCTGGCTATGGGGAGCATGTGGTGGTTTGTGTGTCTGTTTTTTCAGAGGAAATGGTAGTTAGTGTTGTCTGTGTACTGTTAAGAATTTTTGATGATTCTATTTATTCTCTTTTGATTGATTGTTTTCTTTTTGTCCAGTGGCAAACATTTCATCTATATTCAGGACTAGAACAAGTGAAAAATAAATATGACAGTTAGGGCTTAAAAGTGGTCGAACAGCCACAGGGTCATACCCTTCGTGCATATTCAGGACTAGACCAAGTGAATAATAAATATTATGGGTAGCAGTACGTGAGGTCCTGAAAAGTGTTTAACCAGGGTCCTTTCTTATCTGTATTGTGTATGAAATGGACTCGTTCAAATGTACATACATGTACCAAGACGCACCCAATGCTGCTTAAAAAGCACTTAGGGAATGACTTGTAGCAAATATATATGTATCCTGATTCCTGCATTTATGAGACTGCTTGCATTGTGTCTTTACACTTAATTAAATCTGTATTGTCATGAATATGCATGAAATAATTGCTACATTAAGCAAGCAGTAATTAATCCCTAAATCTATAGCAGTGTAATGATGGACATTTTAGATGTTTAGTCTTTGAGAACATGGTTTATTTGTTGAAATTGGGCTTTGAACTAACTTTGGCGTTTACCTTTCGGTTATTTGTTTTTGTGCATAGTCCTGATTTAATCAATCGTCCCTTTCATACTGATTTTCACATCAAGAGCCAGGATTCTTTAATTCAATGGTTTTCTTTTGTTCTCTGTAGAATCATTTCAGATTTTTTTTATTTCAAGGGTCTTTTATAACTTACAATACCAACTTGTTTTTGCTTATTGTTGCAGGTCACATGGAAACCATAACGTGTTACTGGGCAATCTTTAATTTTATTGTTTTGTTTTTATTGACATATTGGAAAATTGTCTCATTGGCAATCTAACCATACAACATATTTTTATATGGAAATAGATGTGTATTCATAATCATTAGCTAGGCCATCATAAATAAATTCCTAAATTCACTTCTGTCTGTCAGTTTTTAAAAAATAATTAGTAACAAAACTATACAGAATCTAGGAATATATTTATTATGGCATACGTTGAAGATGTATGTACAGCACAAATTATCATTTAATAATTTTATTCATTTCATTCAGAAAAACATATTCAACATGAGCAACAAAAAAAAACTTTGTGAAACAATGGATTCATATGCAGTCAACATAAATATACAAATTTCAAAAGCAATACAGATCCAAAAAAAATTATTTACATGTATGTACAATAACAGTGGACAAAGTTGACATACTGAGTTTTTTGGCCACCCTTAAACAAATGTTTAACCATAATAATTAAAAGTCAAGATTGGGTTAAAACTTTCAGAATGACACGTAAATTCACAAAAAAAGTGGTAAAAACTCAAATTGCAATTGATTAACTGATTAAACACAGGCCTAACTTTAATATATCTATATTATTTATCAATTGTGTCATTTATTGTGGATAAATCAATTGCATTAGCAGTGTTCCTTTAAAAATAAAATTAATGCAGCACTACACTGTTTAAACTGATCAAGCACTACATTGAGAAACATTTATCAAGCACTACATTGAGAAAAATTTATCAAGCACTACATTGAGAAACATTTACCAAGCACAACATTGAGATACATTTTTCAAGAACAACATTGAGATACTCTTATCAAGCACAAAATTGAGATACACTTATCAAGCCCTACATTGAGAAACATTTACCAAGCACAACATTGAGAAACATTTAAAAAGCTTATGTAGCATTATTGAGAAAAACTTATGCAGCACTACAGAGAGTAATATTTCAGTGAAATTGCATACCATGTTTACACTTATAAAAAGTAACAAAGACAGCAATATTTGACCTATATAAACTAGAGGCTCTCAAGAGCCTGTGTCGCTCACCTGTATTTACTGATGCTTTGGAAATCATGTAAAATAAGGTTAAAATCATAATTAATAGTATTAGATATTAGCTATTATAATGATATCTAAGATAATAACAAAAAACTGCCAAATTTTTGTAAAATTACTAACTCAGGGTCAGCAACCCAACAACGGGTCGTCGGATTTGTCTGAAAATTTCAGGGCAGATAAATCTAAATCTGATGAACATTTTTGCCACCTGTCAGATTTGCTCTAAATGCTTTAGTTTCAGAGATATAAACCAAAAACTGCATTTTACCCCTATGTTCTATTTTTAGCCATGGCGGCCATCTTGGTTAGTTGGCGGGGTCATCGGACAAATTTTAAAACTAGATACCCTAATAATGATTATGGCCAAGTATGGTTAAATTTGTATCAGTAGTTTCAGAGAAGAAGATTTTTGTAAAAGATTACAAAAATTATCAAAAAATTGTTAAAAATTGATTATTAAGGGCAATAACTCCTAAAGGGGTCGACTGACAATTTTGGTCATGACAACTTATTTGTAGATCTTACTTTGCTGAACATTATTGCTGTTTACAGTTTATCTCTATCTATAATAATATTCAAGATAATAACCAAAAACTGCAAAATTTCCTTAAAATTACCAATTCAGGGGCAGCAACCCAACAACAGGTTGTCAGATTTGTCTGAAAATTTCAGGGCAGATAGATCTTGACCTGATAATCAGTTTTACCCCCATGTCAGATTACCTCTAAATGCTTTGGTTTCAGAGATATAAGCCAAAATCTACATTTTATCCCTATGTTCTATTTTTAGCCATGGCGGCAATCTTGGTTGATTGGCGGGGTCATCGGACACATTTTTTAAACTAGATACCCTAATGATGAATGTGGCCAAGTTTGGTTAAATTTGGCCCAGTGGTTTCAGAGGAGAAGATTTTTGTAAAAAGCTAACGACGACGGACGACGACGACGACGACGACGACGACGTCGACGACGACGACGACGGACGACGGACGACGGACGCCAAGTGATGAGAAAAGCTCACTTGACCCTTCGGGTCAGGTGAGCTAAAAATGTACAAATGTTTAGGTACAATATATTAATGCTGAAGAGAAGTAGGCACAGTCAGTACATGTACATGTAATATGTCAGGAATATTTATTGGCCTAGGTCGTTTGCATTGATAACGATCCTAGATCTTATCCAAGAATGATAATGATCAACATTCATATATTCAATAACCGATTTCTTAATGTTTGGAAAGTCATTATGAAGTCTCCCTGACTGAAACGAAAATGGTCTAAGTTTTCTTAAGTCTTGAATCATCAATAACTCATCACCATCAGAATCCTTTTTTTTGTGTTTTTTGCATCTATGAACTACACCACTAGCTTTATCAAAATGTTCTGATAAATCTTGTATTCCTGATAAGGATCTGGTCTGCTTTGCAATGTTTGCTTCACTTTTGTTGGAATACATATGTTTTATGTGTTTTTTTATGGTCTTGACCATATACTCCATCTGCAAGTCAGCAGGGATATAACTGTCCACCTTTCCTTTGGTGTTGACAAACATTCCTGTAACAACCTCAGCTGCCTCCTTTTCTGACAAGGTAGAAATTTGTTGTATCAGAAAGCGGTGTATTTCCAAAGCATATTTGCTGTTATTGGACCTCGCTTTAAATACTGTCATACTGTGCTTCAACAACCTCAACATTTGATTCCGTTCTGGAGATTTGCAAACACCCAACAGCTCTTTAAACAGCATACCCAATTCTAACACTAAATGTCCATAGTTCTTAACCTTGTCACTTCCTTCATCAACCGACTTCTTATTGGTTGTTCTGATTCTGGGACAAATTGAGATCTCAGTTCCATTTGACAATTTCAATGTTACTGGTAGGTACTGCCCATCCTCTGAAAATAACATTAACCAAGAATTAATTCCACAAGTTTAACTATATGAAACAACCGTTAAAAATGCAAATGAACTTTAAACAATTAAAGCTAAGGTACCCATGCCAGTATACAGTCATTGACAGGATTTAAGGGTATTTTGTTTGATCTCAATACAAATCTGGTGTCCAAAGAAACCAAAACGAAACAAAATTGAAGGCTGTACAGTTGCCTATAATTGCTTACATTCACTTCATTCAATCTTTGGTGGATAGTTGTCTCATTTGCAATCATACCACATCTCCTTTTTAGGGATATATAGTCTTATATAACTATGTCGGATTGTGAAAGTAAATATGTTTTATATACAGGTATGTGAAAAGTAAGGAAATATATAACATTAACACTTTATAAAAGTTAGTGTTGAAGTGCTTTTCTAGATTAATCTTCATCAGGAATGCTATAAGCCAAAAAATTTGAAAGCCAGATGCTTAAATATGGAAGTAATTACAAGTTGTATTGTATACTATAAGCTACATGTATTAATGCTTACCAATAACATCATCCTGGATATCTTCAATTTTTTTTGGCCACACCATTTCATCAACCAGTTTTCCAATCACCTCATTCATCCATATCTTTTTCTCCTCTACTGATGAAAATTCTGGTGGAATATTTTTGGTTGGGACTGATAGATGGTCCTCCATTCCAAAACGTTCACATAATAGTTCAACAATGTATGCATTTAAAAAGGCAATCACAAAGTCTTTATCTGCATCATAAGCCTTTTTAACATCTTGGTCAACCTGACTTCTCATTACTCTATTTATCTCACACTTGAGGGTCCCAAGGTCTCCCGCACTTTTGTCACTATACAAAAAGTCAAAAAATCCTTGCAAGAAGTTCATGAGAAGATGAAACATTTCAAATGTTACAGGGGTCAGGTGTCCGAAGCGATTTTTCACATTGTTTTCAGCTGCTCTTAAACCTTTTGCACCAGAAAACCTCTCACGGGTAAGTTGATCACCACCAATGTGGATTTTGACATCATCTGTTACTTCTTTTCCTGCTGCATTGAATGTTGTCTCCAATATGTTTTCATAACTGTCTAAAATGTCTACAACATCAGAATAGTACATTTCATTTTTAAGAACAGTCTCCAGTGGAATGACCTTAGTTTTTTTGGGGTTTTCACTTGTCTTGGTTATAGTACCTGTAGCTATAGGGTTCTGTAGAGAAATGTCTTCCAAGAATTTAAAATATGGAATATGCTTTTTTGCAACAGTTACAATTTGATTAATATAGTCTTGTCTTAATGCTTGGTAGTCATCCTGATTCATGAGCAAATCCTGTACATTTACATCAGTCCAAGGCTTTTGTGGTCGTTCCGAGGAAAGGTGTGCAAAGTCAACATCATGGATCAAAGCAATGGAAGCAAATGCATGATGAAGGTGTTGTGTTTTTCCATTGTCATGCGACCTCTGGTCCCTGATGCCAACAGCATAGTTTACATTGTCGCCAACTATCCTTAATCTTTTGCCCTCATTTATGGCAGCAGCAAGTTATTGTGTGTATGACTGGCCTACTTCATGCAAAAGGTGTTGTGACTGCTCATAGCTTAGACATACACCAACAGGCTGAAACCGGTCATAAATCTGAAATACAAAAAAAATAAAGTAAGAGAATGGAAACCAAAAATTCAGCAATTTTTATGTTTAGAATGGGGCATAACTCAAGAACAGTAAAAGCGAAGCCATCCAATTTCTAATTGATCTGTATTTTATGGTAATAAGCATTGTGTATAAGTTTCATACAGTACAACCTGTGACTTCCTCTTAGTTATGTCCACCCTCTTGTATGGTCACCATTGAATGGTGGCCATTTATTGGGGTATTCAATCTTGAGATGTTGGCCATTTACTGGGGTCATAAAACATAGGTTGATGTTTTATCTAATTATGTTACCTGTTGAAATCAATCAGGGTTGAAGTTTTCAGCTTGTATGTTTCATTAAAATTAAACTGTACAGGTAACTCAGGTTTCCTATCAAATTGACATTTCACCTTTTCTTGAAAATGTAGAATAGAATGTTGTTTTAGTCTTTGTTATTTCATATCGTTGATTTTTCTGTCTTTAAATTTACATACTTTCCTTTTTATCTAATGTTTTTATTTTTTTATGTTATTTGTTTTTTTGCTTCTTAATCTTTAAATTTCTGCTTGGAAAGAATCTTGAGTAGAAAACAAAACAGAGAATCCTTTAAATAAATATTTTTTCAGTAAAAAAAAGTTATTGCACATATGTACATGGTATTCAATTGTTTGTTTGCATTATAAAATGAATTAATATTAATTATAACTTATAATTATGCAAATGATATGTTTAAAGGAACCATGAAGCAAGTAATTTAACAAGCCTGTTTCTTAGAAATGAAAATTATCAATATCATGAATATCAATCCTTTTACAATAAATTTTGTCAACAGAGTTGTACAATCTATTATCATGATTATTTTTCAGGAAAACTACAAATATCATTATATAGTATAGGAATAAACTATTTTTGTTTTATCTTTATATTTTTCAAATCTCAAAACTGGAGTTGTGCATGAACAATCACTAAAGTAAGAGACTTAAATTTTCCAAATGGCTACCTAGTTATCATCAAATTTTGATAAACATGATAAATGCTAATCATAATGGTAATCATAATGAAAAATGTTCTTATCTCTGAATAAAGTAAATCTTATGAAAAGAAATTATTTAAAGAAAAAATTGTCTTGCATTTTGAAACAATTGTAAACTTATCAAATACAATTGTAAACTTATCAAATATGTTATCTTCAGTTTGGCTAATTTTGTCAGTTAACAGGCAAAATTTGTCTCCAGAAAAAATGAAGTACACTTCTATATAGATTGTGACATTTTTATGGTCTATTAATTAAATCGCTTTTTGTTCTGTGTATTGTATTGTCGAAACTGCAGGACTGGCATATGCATGATACATATTCTTGGTATCCATTTGCAAAGAATATTTCACTCAACTCAGGCCTTTTAGATAAAGTTAATAATTGCAGGGAGTTGAATGAATTAGATTCTTTAAGGCCTTGATTAAAAATGAACTTTAAGAAAAAATATAAGAATATTTTTGAAAATAAAATAAAAACTTATGATGAAAACAGTAAACTCAAATGCTTCACTAAGTAAAGAATTAGTGGTCATAATTTAGAAATAGAAAATGGTGGATAAAAATTCCTATAAAAGATAGAATTGTTTGTAAAATTAACATAACAACTTAGAGATGAGATTATCTATTTGCAAATTGTTTACCTTCTCATAATAATGTCTCTGACCAGTTTATGAATAAAATCTTGAATCTTATGAATAAATTCTTAACCAAGAACAAAAAGTAAAAGGAATAATAAACCTCTATAACATGGAACATGTAAAAAAAAGTCATTAGATCTGAGGGCAGAAACCTAATAATTTTTTTCCATGTGTTTTGATTTCTTATAGAAATGTTATTTCTTTGCATTATAATGTTTTTGGTTGTTTTTTGTTGTTGTCAGAAACTTGATTTAATTGTAATATGTTTATATGACAATAAAAATATTATTAAATTTTTCTATAATGATTATTTTGAATATACATGTAGTTATTCAATAGCGAAATAATGATTTGCCTTAATTTTATATAGAATAAGTCCTAAAGATAATCTTAAACATTTGTTAATGTTAAATGCAGTAAGTATAAACAATTTTGATTTTAGAAAATTAATTTGAGAAACACCTTTTTAATGGAAAAAGGCAGGGTGAAAGTTTGCATTATATTAGAAGATGATATTCATTTGTTATTCACTTGCCTAAAAATACATATAAAAAATAACTTTAATTGACAGAATTATTTAAAAGGTATAACATAATAAAACAAACAGTGATGAGAAAATTTTTACAAAAAAAGGTTAGGAAGCTTTATGTTCTACTAGTTTTTTTATTTCATTTTATTTTAGAAAGTTATTAAATTTGACAAACACATATATTTTACCTGAGACACTTTACCTGTAAGTTATATAATTTTAACACTTCAATGCAGTCATGATTTCCCTTTATCATTGACAAGTTTTTGATTAATACCTTGTGTATTAATTAAGCAACAGGAGGTATAATGATGGACATTTAGGGCCATCATGGTGACCATATTTTTTATGGCCACCATTAATAAGATAATGTCACAGGCAGTACTGTAACATTTGGTTGAGGCAAACAAAAGTTAAAGAACGGAAACGAAAAATTCAGCAATTTTTATGTTTAGAAAGGGGCATAACTTAAGAACGATATAAGTGACGCCACCCAATTTCACACTTGATCTGTATTTTATAGTAATGAGCATTGTGTATAAGTTTCATAACATTTGGTTGAGGCAAACTAAAGTTAAAGAAAGGAAACCAAATTTGGGACGTACAGACGGACAAGGGTAAAAATTAATGCCCCCTCCACTACAGCGGGGGCATAAAAATTAGCATATTGTTACTGAATCATTTAATTACATTGTAAATAACAACAACTGTTGACTAGTTTTGATGAATTACACATAGCAGTCCAGCTTCAACACAATACATGTATGTCAATGTACAACTAACATTTGTACATAAGGTCATGGATACACATCATGCACATGTGCACCTAATAAATTTATTATTTTTTTTATTGAACTGGTGTATGCATGCAATGAATGAAATTTTCCCTTTTCAACAGATTCTATACATATTGTAAATATAAAATGAAGTTCTTGTCAATGATCCTTTGGCAGGTTTATAATAGACTGTTAAGAGTTTGAAATTAGGAGTTCACATACATCTGTATCAAATTATGGCACCAAAATTTATATTAATGTCAAAGTAAAATGTTTACCACAGTTTGATTTAGTTACTTTTCATTCATGTCTCTGATTGTCATTGTTGTTAAATATTTTTGTTTCAAATACATGTACATGTACTTCTTACATACTTCAGTGGAAGATTTTTAAGAGCCATGACAAGGTAGAAAATAAGGAGGCCTCATAAAGTATGTGTATGCGTATCAGTAATACAGGTTTTCTTCAAATTTCAAACATTTAAAAAAAAAATTGAATTCAACATACATGTATATCACATACATGTATCAAGTGGTTTGCGATGTAAAAAAAATGCATTCAATTTTTTTTAATTTCTAGACCATTGTTCATGATGAGCTTTGTCTAAGCAGTCGTTCAGTACACATTTACATGTACATGTATGCTAGCCAGAAGAATTTATATATATAATTTAGCTTTTTCAAATTCTATACAATCGATACAGCTATATATATATTTAAGCATATTAAAACTATCAATGTCTGCCTAATTGAATGTTCAGATATATAAAGAGAAACAATACATCAAAACTTTTCAAACCATATATGTTATAAAATTTAAGTTATAATCATGATAATGATTATTTTTAGATAAAATATGATACTCTTTTTTAAGTCTGTTTTGCATTTGACATCTGTATCAAATTTTTGTTTAACATCAATAAGTAAAAATTAGACAGTATTTATTTTTCTTTATAAATTGATGTACAGTATTACCATATGTAATTATCAGTCTGATCATAATTAGTAAGCAGAAACAGGTAAATTCTTATCAGCAATCACCTGGTGAGAAAGTTAAAACTATAAGATTTCACATGGCCAAGCCGCCAAGGTGTGAATTAGATTTCAATTTTACGACTTAATTCACATGTACACATGTATCTAAAAGGGCAAAAGACAGTAACACATGGGAAAAAACCATAAAAAGTAAAGGACAACAAAAACTGCAGTTATATAAAAAAAAAACTTCAAATTTAATTCCATTCCCCTTTTATGAATTTGCACTAGATGTACATATACAATGTTTTGTTTGCATTGAATTGTCAAACATTTACATTGCACAATGCCACATGCATGTAGGCTACATGTATTTTTAATTATTTCATGTTCTGAAAAGTGTTAAAGGCTCTGTGACCATTATGACTTAGATGAAAACCAACAATAAAAGAGCAGTTCCTTTGCTTTTCTGTAATTTTACTGTTTTTTTAGTGTAAGTCATTGATGAGTATCTCTTACATGTCATATTCTTCCCCTTCTATACTGAACAAAATATATTCTGATTCTAAAAGACACACATTGCTTGTATAAATTAATTCCTATTCAAAAGAGACATAAAATGACTGCTCACGTAAATTAATTCTTATTCTTCATTTCTTAAGGACATTCAATGATTCATGTTGGATATCTGGATGGGGAAAAACATGTCTTTGACCTTATGTATATATATATACATTGTATATACAGTGTATGCGTATAACTTTTAAAAAAGTCCTAAGTAAAGAATGTGCATGGCTAAACATGGCTAACACATGTATGAAATAAAGAATAGAAGTAATGCATTATTAATACAATTGTCCCACAACCATGCAATGATATACTTGAAAATAATAATAAACTACAAACAGTACATGTACACATACAGCTAGATATATACTACAGGCAAAAGTGCTCCAGCAGGGAATGACATCATGTGTAAGTACAGTCACTGATGTTTTTTAGGTTACGTTTTTTTGTTGCTTTTCATTACATTTATAGGTGAAAAGTGGAACATTTGTAAAACATGTTAATCTTTTAATTTATAAATTGTGTACATATGAACATGATTTGCTTGTTCCATATAATATACAGCTATATATGCTTTGTAACTTTCCAACTACTGAAGCACTTACAAACTATACTATCGAATACATGTACATTTGTATCTAAAGAAAAGAGTACCGTATACACAGAATAAAGTAATACATTTATACACACAACCACCCAATACTTACATCTACTAGTTATCACCTAGGCTATAAAATGAATTTGAGCATGTTGAGAAAAAGGTTGAAATATATACATCACATGATACATGTAGTTGGTTTTGCTTTCCTTTTTTTATTTCTATTAAGATCTGTTTATCATTTTTATAAGAGAAATTTTTATTACATACAATGTACATCATCGTATCATTTATAATTGAGAAAAAAAGTCAGTAATTAAGACAATTCAAATAGAAAACTTTTTGAGTTTTATTTAACAAAAGATATTTTTAAAAGCTCGAGCTCTTTCAACATTTATAAAGTAATAAAAACATTATAATCTTTTCTAAATTTATTTTACAAACTTTGAACCGACACATATTGTCCAATTTACAATCCAATAATATAATATCACAATACCTTTTGATCTGCTATGTTGTCTAACAGGCATAGAGTCATCATCCTCTGCACTAAGCTTAGCTTGTGGTGTCTTGTCTGTGCACAAACTGCATACACCATTCCCATCCTTGGCAATATCTTGTCTCTATTCTTCTCCCCAGAAGACATTATACCTTCCACTATGCTTGCAAGTAAGGGAAACTGACTTTTAAATTCTTCACAAATTTTGTCCCAGGAAAATCCATACATATTGTCACATGTTTTTTTCATCAGAACACTAACAAATCCATGTTTTTCTTTATTTAGAATTTTCATTTTCTCCTCACTTTCAGTTTGGAAGTAATTTGTCACATGTTTCAAAAAATCTTTATTTTTTAACAACAGATCTCCAATGTGTGAGATGTATCCACCAGAATGTAGTAATGAAGCAAGATGTGCTTTTTCAGTTTTGCTTAAAGATGGTACTGTAACTGTAACATTTTCATCTGCCCCCTCATGGTTTACTGGAGTATTAGTAGAACTCTTTGAAGCCTGAAAAATTATTAGTTCACATGAATACTACTTTAGCTTACAGTTGTCCAAGTTGGCAATATTGTTTGATTCTACATGTACATGCATACACGTAGAATTGTTGAACTAAATGTTTGGGTTAATACATTTTAACATTTCAAATGATGTGGGCAGGTGCAAAGATACATGTACATGTATTTTAATTCATAATTACATTAGACATTAACAATATTTATTAAGTTTAAATTATTTTGTTATTATAAGGGGTTGTTTCGTTGACACCTACCCTATAATCCTTGATAAGATATTAGTGGTACAATGTATACAATAACAATTGTAAAAAAGGTGGGCGTTTTCTGCTAATTTTGTCACTTCAACATTTTTCAAAGTATACATTGTAAGTTGTTTGTGATTACACTACAGTGCTACTAGTAGTTATTAATATTTATATTCATTTTATTAAATTACTGACAATGGAAACTGTTCAACCTGAAAGCAAGATTTGTTGAATCAGAAGCAACGTTTCTTTAATATTGAATAAAATACAATGAAATAAATATTAATTTACAATAAAAATGTATGTTATTTTTATAAGATATAAATTATTCAGTCCATAATAACAAAGAAGACTGGGTTGTGCATACATATCCAAAAAATTAGGTCATTATATATGATTTTAAGTCCTTTATAGACCATAACAAATGTGTTTTTTTGGTTTTTTTTGTTTTTATTTTTTTCATCACTGTAATCAACAAAATCAATATGTTAATCAAATGTATATATCATACATTGTATTAATTATTCTGCTCTTCATGGGCGTCTTGATTGACAAATAAAACTATTCTTATTCTTATTCTTCTTATTCAATGACATAAAAACTATAAGAATATCTTACCAATGGTGCTGATTTTGGCTTTGGAGTACTTGTGACAGTCTTGCTGTAGCAATGGTCAGTTTGCTTGACCACTGGTGATGGCATTATGGAAACTGCTATAGGGCTGGGACATATAGACGAAGACATATATCCGCTGTCATCTAACAATGATCTTTTGACTGGTTTTGGAGTTATAGTCCGAAGCACAGGAGTCACTGGACTCTCAATGTTAATCTTATTGTTAACAACAACAGGCGTTTGAAATAGAGACACTGCAACTTGTGACCGTGAATTGCTTGAGTTAGGCGTTTGAAATAAGGACATTGCAACTGGTGACGGAGAAATTGTACTAACATTGATTTCACTTATATTGCTCATGGAGGTTATGTCACTCAAACACCTTTTGACACCTGGTTTTGAAGATTGACATTTATTTCTAAAGTCTAAAACAGTTTGGTCGATTTTCAATAATTTCTCATAGCAGCTTCTGCACAAACACCCTTCTGAAACGGTAATCTGTCCATACCTTGCCAGTAATACCGAAATATTTTTCCCTGCTTTATTTTTTCCATTTACACTTCGCTTTTCTTTCGGTGTTGTCCCACATACACAGCACAATTTGGAAGATTTCCTGGGTGTACCAAACTGTCTCGATGGATCCATCACGACCAATAGCACTATCAAACTTATAAATACATAATTTAATGTCATCACCGAAAGTTTTCCAGTATATCTAAAGGGAGCCACATTTTTTCCTTATTAACATCATAATTTGGTAGATTGTTGAAGCCATTTTTGTTGTTTACAAGATTATGCATATATTTATTCAGCCTCACTTTAGATTCAGAGTCAACTGGCACTGAATCGATCACGTGGTATTTGTTCCCCACCTGGCCCATACGACGCGCAGCTAAATATCGGGCCGGGATGCCAGGCTAAAGGAAACTCCGCCCTTTTTCCCCAAGTGGTATGCATAAAAATTCTTAAACTAAGTATTTCCTTAGTAAAATTACTTAGTTGTTTTTAATCACACCCACAAAACTTAAGTGGTATGCATAAAACCCCTTATAACAAGAAAACGCCTAAGATTATACTTAAGTATAAGGTAAATGTACCTATAGAGCTACCTTAAATTTTCAATAATAGATAAAAAATATCAGTCAAAAGTATGCATATTGCAGAATAAGGATAGATTAAGGGTGCCACATGTGGAGCAGGATCTGCTTACCCTTCCGGAGCACCTGAGATCACCCCCAGTTTTTGGTGAGGTTCGTGTTACTTAGTCTTTAGTTTTCTATGTTGTGTCATCTGTACTATTATTTGTCTGTTTGTCTTTTTATTTTTGGCCATGGCGTTGTCAGTTTTTTTCGATCTATGAGTTTGACTGTCCCTCTGGTATCTTTCGTCCCTCTTTCAGCTACCATTTATTAATTGATTAATAATTATATCAGTAATATTTCGTTTGTTTATTGTAAATAATTATTAACGACCATTGTAATTTTCTTAAAATCACGTATAATCAACAGAATCCAGAGATAAGAGAAGGTAATTACATTTTCATTCTACCACTTATTTCTCAATCTCATTTTTGTGTATACAGAAAAGTACTCAGTTTTTACACGCATATGGAAAATCGGTTTAATTTTCAAACATATAGGCTTATTCTTAAGATATTACTAGGCAAATTTCCCCTGAATTTGTTTCACTAGTATACCTGGGACAAAATCATAAAGTCTTAAGACCTAGTCCACATTTCCCTGACCTTCATCCCGTACAACCTCTGTTAACATGTTTTAAGTACCGTAAATTGGGTTATTTTGGTTTATTTGGTGCCTCAAAAGAAAGTGTCAAAATTAAACACACGAAAATAAATCAAACACTAAAAATTGAAACGCCAAAATCGCGCACCGGCATAACAATATCGTAATTTTAATTGTTGGGGAAAATATTTTATGTTATTATATATCTTTCCTACAATTCTATACATAGCCAAATCTGCAAATAAATACCTGTTGTAATTTGACAACAACGCTATTTAATGTTTACCTAATTGTCAATTTTCTGAAATTGTTAAGAAAACACAACATGAATTTCTATTCACACATGTCATAAATATGCCAGGCTTTTACTGATTAGATGCCGTTATTGGTAATTAGAATATCCTTGTAATCCTTTATCTTCAATTAATTAGAGGCACAAGGATTAAAATTTAAATACTTGATCGTCAATAGATTAACATGTACTGCAATAGAGATGATTAAAACTTATTTCATATGATATTTGTGAAAAGTAAATAATCTATTTGAAAAGTGATTTTAATGTTTAAAATTTTATTTCATATTTTCTTTCAGCTTTGAACCACGATATACAGAATTATTTGCAATAGCATCCGTATCCGATTCCTTCATTAAGTTAACTTTGTCGTGTTTCTAGTTTGAGAAATTCAATGATACTTTGTCAATAAACGGGTAAATAAAGGCAAATATGAATGAGCTTGCTCACTTCTGTTGTTCCAAAATTAAACATTCCTTAGTTAAGTGAAGGCTAAAGTAATTTTATGCATACGACTTAAGAATTTCACTTAACTAAGGAAATTCTTAGTGAAATCTATGTTTAAGGAACACTTAACTTAAGATATTTTATGCATACAGACCCAGCTTCGGAAAATATGTTCAGTAGATGCTGTATTTTTTATCCAATCACAGTGTTCAGAGAGGACCTTCAGATATATTTACCCAAGTAGCTTAGGTACACAAAAGAGCAACCTAGTTCCCGGAAAGTAAATACTACCGTGCCACCTGTAGTCATCGTATTGCAGCGGAATATAACGACTGCATAATTAGGCTTAACGATTGAGACACATAAACCGTATCTAAAACTTCCGATTTGAATGGGAAAGTGAAATCCGATGTCTCGTGTGGTGAGTTACGCTCCCTGCATGTTATTAAAGAAGCCTTGTTACAATTCTTTCAGGTTTTCGTAGACAGCCTATTGCAAGGCAAAAATTGCTAATCAATTCCTGTTTGCCATGGACTTGTCAGTTTATCTCGAATGATGAGTTTGAATGTCCATATCGTATCTCCCACCTCGATCATTATCAACTCCTACTGGAGGGTCTAGACGGGGTTACAGAATAGAGATTAATAGGCTTAAAAAACAAAGAATAGAGAAAGCTGAGATGCTTAAATATAAAGGATAGAACATAATTGGGGAAAAAATTACAGAAATGAACTCCCACTTCAGTAGGTTCTCCTTTATCTGTCCGATTATATTCAGACTTTTTTTTATCGTTAAACTACCTACATCATTTTTGTAAATTCAACTGAACTCTTAACCTAACGTCCAAATTTTATACTAGGTACTTTCGGTAGAACACTCGACTGACTTTTATACGAAGTTGTATGTTGAAATAAATACGATTTTTAAATGAAGTTGTCCGCGTATAGAAACAAATACGTTTTTTTTTCTTATATGAAGTTGTGCATTAAAAAAAAAAAATTTCTAAATGAAGTTGTGAGATGTTAAAACGAATACGATTTTTAAAACAGTTGTGTATTTAAACGAATGCATACAAACTTCTGTATAACAAACATATAAGCTATAAATTCAAAAACCCTATGACAAAAATGAATAAAAATAGAACTATATACAAACAGCATACATACACACACACATACATATATATATATATATATATATATATATATATATATACTAGAACACACCCGTGACTGAATAAAATCATAATTATAATAATCATGTCTAAGCCTTATATTTAGTCTGGATTTTTAGTATTGCTATTGTCATCTGATAAAGACATGCTGATTATAAGACGCACAGATTTATCTGCTTTCAAAATATTTCTGCTTGAACCGTTGACTGGAACTTATTAATTATTGATAATATTAATTATTTGGAAGTCACAGGGGCCTGGAATTGTGTACTAGTAATTTTCAATCAACACCATTGTCCTATATTAGTTATATATAAAGTTGAATTCTTTGATTCGCCGTTTTCACGTCATGCCGGCTAACACATTGGAAACTGTACCTACGCCTTATTTTAAGTCTGGATTTTTAGTATTCGTATTGTCATCATATAAAGCTATGCTGAATAAATTACTACAATACTAATATTTTAGGAAACAATGTGACAATGATTGAATTTAGTAGTGTCAACCCTGTATAATGACCCGTGTATATAGCAAATCCCAAATACACCGTTTGGTGGTGCACCTGACAGATACGGCGTACAGATAAGGTAATATAGATTTCGAGGGCAGTACGTCGACTGAGCATGCGCGAAAGTGTATAAGACATGGATAGATAACGGTCTCCGAATTTGGATATTTTCTCAAAAATTGGCGTGTTCCGTGGAAAAAAGATTGTTACAAAGACAAATTTAGGAAGTACAAAACACTACATTTATACGTCATATCACAAATATTTCCGACTTTGTATGGTTTCAGAGGAGTTGCGGCTCAATGAAATCGGTCTCTTCCTTTAGTAGTATAGATATATATGCAGCCATTCTACTATTTATATTTTTACTTGTATATCTGTACATGAGTAGGTTGTAATTTTTGTTTATGTATAATTATATTACTCACGAATTTTACTTCATATAACAGAAAAATAAAAATTTTATACATGGAACCGGAAAACTATGAGGAAATTGTGGAACTTATTGCTAGAAAAACACAGAAAGAAGATAAAACAAGCTCTACGTCCACTCTGTGTTTTTGTTAGATGTATTTCTATTTATATCCTTCTGATGAGTTAAGCCTTTTTCAACTGATTTTTATAGTTTGTTCTTATGTTGTACTGTTCACACCACTGTCCCAGGTTATGGGATGGGTTGAGCTCTCACAAACATTTTTAACCCCGCCACATTCTTTATGTGCCTATCCCAAGTCAGGAGCCTGTAGTTCAGTGGTTGTCGTTGGTTCATTTCTATCATATTTGTTTTTCGTAAATTGGTTTGTTATAAATTAGGCTGTTAGTTTTCTCAATTAAATTGTTTCATATTTTTAATGTCGGGGTCTTTTATA